CAATTTACAAAATTTCACAGTTTTTTAAAAAGCCACCAAATTTTTTCTTACCAACAATAAATAGTACTCGCATAAATGAAATTTTCTGATAAAAAAAGAATACTAATCTATTCTAATCTATTTATTCATCGGTGCCTAATTCTCGTTAATCGATTCAGAACGATTTTTTAGTGTTTTTTTTTTTTTTAATAAACTTTTTTAACTAAAGAGCCGCAAGGAGCCGCATGTGGCTCGCGAGCCGCAGCTTGCCGACCCCTGAACTATAGACGATTGGTCGTAGAGTATATAAGGAAACGGAAAGAAACAAAGGACAACAACAACAACAAAATTAATATCAATTATTCAATATTCAATTAAACAAAAACAAAAAAAATTGAATAACAATTATTTCAATTATACAAAATGGTTGAGAAACGCGTGCGTGTATGCGGGAGAGTATTTTTTATTATTTTCGTACAATAAATGAGAAGGAGTTGAGAAAAAAAAAAGCAGGAAACTAAACAGAAAAAAAAAGAAAAATTGTTTTCATCTGACCTTCCGTCGCTTCTTCTTCTTCTTCCGCGTGTCTTTCATCTCTTTCTCTCTCTCTCTCTCTCTCTCTCTCAGCACACATGCACTTTACTCGCCTTTAGCTTTTTTTCTGCTTTTCTGCTTCTATGCTCGCAGACTCGAAAGCTGACGCAAAATGGGCTTACAATTAGAATAGGTACATATATATAAATATACACACTTGTGCACATGTACATACATACACATACCTACATACGTACATATATCTGGAGTATTTAAAACCACCCTTTCTTCTCTCTCTCTCTCTCTTTTCTCTCTCTCTCTCTCTTTCTCTGTTTCTCCCATTTTTTTTCTTGCTCTCAAAAAAAAAAAGGAGAGAGCATGCATGGCTTTTGTTAGAGCAAAAAACCACCAGCCAGCCAGCCAGCTAGCCAAGCCAAGGCAGCTTTTATTTATTCCTCGCTTTATAAAGAAATTCAATCATGATTATGGCCGCGCGATTCCACTAAATACCATGAGAACAAATCTGGCACTTCATGTTCCTCACGCGAACACAAGGAGAATTAACGAGGTTCTTTTTTTTTTTTTATTCAAATAGGAAGGTGGGAAGGGGGAGGGAAAAATCTAAAAAAAAGCGACAATACAATTTTGATATTTGAATTATTTTCGAGGGCTTCGCACGTTTACAGTGTCCTTTATTGATTAGTTTCATCTTTGATTAGTAAATTGTCCTATACACCCTACTTCTCTCTCTCTCTCTCTCTTATCTACGAGTAGATAAACGTTTCCACCCTCACCCCCCCATAAAACATACAAGAAAATACAGTAGATGTGGTTGCCTATATGTGGGACGAGCGACTCCATGCTAAACTTTTTGGGCATTCGTGAGAAGGATTGGTCGATGGGCCCTGGATAGCTCAATTGGTTAACTCTTTGCGGCATAAAATTTCAGATAATAAAATAGCCATATGTTGCATAGGGCACAATCTATAATTGTTTTGCGTAAATAAGACGAAATATAAACTTATAAGCATGTGTAGCTATTGCAATAATAATATTTCAAAGTGGGACTAAAAATGTCCCACCAAATGTGCATTACGGTGTATCAAAAAGGTGGGAAACTTTTAATCCCACGGTGCCCCAAAGAGTTACAAGAGCAGTCGCCCGGAAAGCGAAAGATCCGTGGTTTGAGTCCCCGGTCCAGAATCAGTCCAGCGGTCCAATTTTGTTCACGAATTCCACATATATATATACAGTACAATCTCACTAATCCGGCACCATTAAAAACCAGAGGATGCCAAATTATTGTAATGTTCGAATTACTCGATTATAGAGCAAAAAATCATAATAAATATTGTATGTATGTATGTACATATTTGTGTTCTTGTTCGACAGGTTTTATTATTACTGTAATAACATATCTCAAAATTGCACGGATTAGTGAGATTTTACTGTATATATCATTTCCCACGCCACCACGCTTTTTTTTATAATAAATTCAATCAATTATAATTTGTTTTGAATTTTGTTTGAAAATTTTGATAATACGTTTACAATTGACTTCTCTTTCTCTCACTCTCTCTCTCTCTCTCTCCCACTTTTAACTATCTTTCTCTCACAAAGGCGGGACCGGGCTTAAAGACGAGTTTTGCATCTTAATTTTGTTTCTTCCTTTTTTTCATTTCATCCCTTTTTATTGTAGATTTTGATTGATAATAAATGTACTACTACGACATTATGCGAATAACAGGATCGCGCGGCAACGATCGTGCATCATCTTCCATGTATTATGACGTTTATTACCTTCATACCCTTTTTACTGACCCAATCTCACCCCCCTCTCACGTCAACCTCATATCGTCTTCTTTTTATCTTAGACCCTACCCCCTAGCCCCAGCCCCAACCCCGTGCACTATGCCATAGCTCTAGCTTTTATCATTAGTTGTTACGTGATAATATTTTTGTTAGTTTATAAAAGAACGCGAAAATAATTGACCTATTCGCGGTCTGACAATTGTTCCGCGTGTATTATTATGACTATGGACAATGATTTATTTTGATTTTGCATATACCCACACATACACACATATAAATATGTTACATATATATTTTCTTGTTGAATTTTTCTTCTTTTTTTTTGGATCGAATTTTGCTCATGTATGTTGTTCTTCGATCGATTGAACGATGATTAAATAAATTTATCAAAATGTTTTTGATTTTATTTTTGTTAGATCTATCGAAATGTGTTTTTTTTTCTTTTTTTTTTATTGTCTACTTTTATATTTCGATGGATCTATGACAATGGTCCGATTTTTGCGTGAAGTTCGCAAGAATCATATCACGGACGTGTTTATTTTTTGTCGATTATTGCACGATGATGGGATGCACGACGAAGGAATAAGAAAAGAAAAAAAGAAAAGAAATGAAAGTTCTTCGTCAAAATTTGAAGAACCAATTGTGTGATGGAGTTTTTTTTTTCATTTTCTTTTTCTTCTTCTTCTCGTTTTTTTTTTTTTCCAAAGTGAGAAGGTCTGATCAAGACCAGGCTTCTCCGTGAACGAACTTGTCTTCTTTATCAAACCTTTATCATCCATTTCCTTAGATCTTTCCTCCTTCCCTCGACACTATTGTATATTTTGAAATAAAAAAAAATGAAAATCGTGTAGGTCGTCGTAGATTACTACGTGTAGTCTATCCGAAAGAAAATCAATTTTGTTAATTGTCAAATCTAATAATCCCATGAATTTGTTTGGATAGACTCGCGTATAACACGTTTACGTATTTATCTGATGAAATAAATAACACAATAAGTACTTGCTTTCCTATCGAGTATTTTTGTTTTGTTTTTTTGTTTACTATTATTATTACAAAGCAGTTGGCAATGATCGTGATTGGTGAGATAATATAAATTTAATCCGTGAACGATGAATTTAATTAGAAAGAAAAAAAAAAAACAAACCTTCGCCAGATAGAAGATTATTCTTGGATACATTAGGAACATTGGACAAGTAAATATTACTAGATGCATATTATTGGCTTAGCTATTGAATAAATTGTTTCAACATTGTTCATTATTTTATATTGGTAATAAATAATTCAGTATGTTTGAAGTACACATATTATAAATATCATAAAATAAAAAATATTAAAAATATTAAAAATGCATAGAGACAATTTATGTGCAAAGCCGATAACGCACACACAAACATAATCAAAGTGTTTGTTCCACTTGGAGAAACAGCAAAGAAAAATTCTTTCAACCCTTTCGCTTTTTTTTAGAGCACTCGTCCACCCTTATCTTTCGCTGAGATCCACGCTTTTATTTCCATTTCAACTCTTATTGATCTCCAAAAAAGGATCAACGAACAAATTTCTTTTGATTACAATGCTACTACTACTACTACTACCGTTTGCTTTCGCCAYCTTTCTCGCAAAACAAATATTTTCTTTTTCTCAAATATTTCATCCCGATCAAAAATAGCTTCTTTCACACCCTACCCACCTACCCCCCATTCTATCGAATCTGCATGCGTGTGTGTGTGTTTTTTTTATATATTTCTATCTGTCCCTTTTTTTCGTATCTTTCTATCTTTCTTTTGATCTTTTTACTTGTTTATCTATGCGCCAAATCAAACGAACAACGCTGATGCATGGGAATGATTGTGTCAACAAAATTGCATTCTTCTCTCTCTTTTTTGTTTTTTTTGTTTTTTTTTTTTACACCCTCGCAAGAAAGACGATCGAAAAAAAAACTGCAACTTTTTTCAAAATGTATTGGAATTTGTAGCACTTGAATACGCTATCTGGTGGCTAAATTCAAAACTGGAGCAGTTAGGACGTATTGCTGTGTATTTGGTTTGTACAAGCATTGCTTGTCGTGATGAAAAAATTCGGTTTTTTTTTCAAATTCCACTTCGGTAAAAAACAATTTGTTAATCGAATAAACAAATTTGATGATAAAGAACACCAAACACACACTCACACGCACACATATGTTTAGCATTTAATACACTTTCATCACCAACAAAATTTTGATTGTTTGGTTTTGTGCAAGCAAATTTCACAAATTTCTTGCAATGTAAGTTTCATTTTATTTCATTTAATTACACACAAAAAATTATAATAATATTGTAATGCACAGCAACCTTCAGTCTTTAGTTCATATTTTTGCCACTAGGGTAAGCCACGCCCCTGCCAGAGATCCCAACAAGTAAAACCTGTTTGAAATATGTAAGATCCATAAAAATCGATCGTCTTTCGAGATGATAAATCATTCATCGTAGAATTTTGCTAGATATTAACGTGTGTGTCTGCTTTTTGTATCAATTATACCGATATTATTGTTTACGGTATTTCGATTATTTCCTAAAAAGAACAACAACAACAAMAAACTACGCATGTGAACACGTGCACGTGTCTATTATTTATTTAAATTGAATTATTTTAATTAAATGCATTACTAATCTGTTGTCTTCTCAAATGTGGTGTAGATCTCTGACTTGAACAGCCAGGTGAATGACCTTCGAGGTAAATTGTAAGTATCATAATTATTTTTTTTTTTTTAATTAATTAACACATTGCTAGCTGATGGTCAATACCAATGTATTGGTCACTTAATGGTATAACAAACTATGGCAAATAAATACAAATCGATGTGTATGACACTCATACTAGCAAAAAACAAATCTACATCATCGTGGGGCAGCTACTCAAGCGACAAACTCAGAAACAACCCGCATTTTCGCGGGGCCGGCTGTCAATGTGTTAAATTGTTTTTCCCATCAATTCACATCAATAACAATTAATTATTTAATTTTGTTTTTGTTTTTTCTTAGCATGAAGCCAACCCTGAAGAAGGTTTCGAAATACGAGAACAAATTCGCTAAACTTCAAAAGAAAGCAGCCGAATTCAACTTCCGTAATCAATTGAAACAAGTGAAGAAGAAGGAATTCACCCTCGAGGAGGAGGATAAAGAGGTACGATAGATCGTTATCGATTAGAATTATCTATTTAGATTGATTAGATATATTTGTATGTATATATATATTATTTTTATTAGAGAAAGTTATACATTTTCTCTCTTATTTTTTTCTGGGGTTGTTTGTTGGGCCCGATAATTTCATATTTTTTTGTATTTTTCCTCTTTTTTTCAACAACAACAACAACAACAACAACTCTTTTTTGTCTTTTGGGACTTCTAGAAAATGGAACGTCTATGAAGCAGAAACAATATAATTTTTTCTATTATAATTGTATTACTTTTTTCTTTTTGGTTTTTGGCTTACAGCAATATGATCAATCAACAACTCGCTTTTTCTCTTTTTTTTATTTTGTGGCCATTTTTCTTATTTTTTTTTTGGTAATCATAGAACGTAGAATAGTTTTTGATTTATTAGAAAAAAAAAAGAAAGTAATGAATTGAGTATTTTTTACCATACCCCCCAGCCCCACAATGAAAAATGTTTTTTCATGACGAAAGGATTGATTTTGTCAAAACCACAACGCGACATTTCCTTTGTGAAGAAGAAATTTTGTTGCCCTCCCTTCCCCTTTCTCAAAATTAATAATCGTCTCGTATTATTTATAATAATCATGATTAGTGTATATATATATATAGTAGTTTAGAGATAGTTGATTAGGCAATTGTGTTGTTCTTCACAGCCCAAGAAGTCCGAGAAAGCAGAATGGCAGACGAAGAAATAGATTACGAATACGGGCCGAATGCGAATTAAATAAATTTCATTAAAAAGTACAATAAGAAAGAAAATATAAGAAAGAAAGAAAACGTACATGCACACACGTATATATATATATATATATAGATCTATATATAAATAATCCTATAATGTACATATACATATTGAAAAACAGTTCGAATACATATACGTACGTTACATACAATTAAATTACTTACAATACATACAAACATAACAGACTGAGACTTATGCTCGTTTTAACGATCAAATATATCCTAGATTTGTCCTCATTTTAATTAACGAATGGAATTTCGTTTCAAACCATGATAAATAAATAAATTGAAACAATTATGAAGAAGAAATAAAAAGAAAAAAAACAAACAGAGAGAGAAATAGTTTTGTTCTATAAGAATTTCGAGCTTGAGAAACGACAACGTTTAAAATTATCAAATTTGAACACACACGAAACTATGCAGTCGCAATTTTGGAATTCCATTTGAAAGATATGATCGATCGATCGATACCAATTTGTCTATTTTTTGTTTGTAGAGGTAAGGAGTAACATTTCTGTGTATATATATATATATATATATGAGAAATGCATATTTTTATATAGAAATATATTTTGATTTTTTTCGCATAGAAAATAATCGAAAATTGTTTTCATTTCTCAATTGATTTTCTATAAAAAGAAAAAAAAGAAATTACAGTTATGTAATATAATAATACAGTTGGATCGCAAAAAACTTTGACGACGTAGAAACGTTCGTAGAATTTTGTAGACGAAATTTAATCTCGAGAAAGGAATAGAACGAACGAAAGTACCGAACGAAGGATCGATCGATCGATCGATCGATCAATAAACTATGGTGTAATAAACGATGATTGAAAAATTGAGTAACCACGCGTGATGAAAGAAGAATTCAAAAAAACAGATATACAACCATATTCACATCCATTTCCAATACCGACGCGACTTGCACACCGTTTAAATCATTTTTCTTTTTTCTTTTTTCTTTTTTTTATTCTTCGTTCCCTTTTCGTATTATATTTTATTTAATATTTTTATTTTTTTGATTTTTTTTTTTTACGAAACTCCAATTTCTTTCCTTTATCTTTGATCATTATCGTTGAATTGAGTTTTACTTTTTTTCATTTATTTGCTTTTAATAAATCAAGTTATTCGTAGATAAAATTATGTTTATCAACACGGAAGAAAGGAATCGATGAAATAAAAAAAAATAAAGACAAAAAAAGATAATTGAATAATTAAATTTAAGTGAAAGAAAGAGAATGCCATAGAAGATTACAAAAAAAAGAAATAAAAAAAAAAAAAAATGAGGTTTTAGGAATTAATAAAAGAACGAGAGAAAAAGGTGAGAATGGCTTGCAGAGTATAATTTACACAAACAAATAAAAAAAAAACGAAAAAGTGATTGAAAGAAATACAAAAAAAAATTAATAATAATAATAATAATAATAATAATTAAATAAAAATTTAAATAATAAAAAAAAAACACACACACACATCTATAAAAGCTCGAACTTTCTTCTCATTTTTTTTCGTTGATAATATATTGGCATAAATGCTTTTACTCACACTAAAATAAATTATGCCTGGCCCTTTAATTTCTCTTTGCATTATTATACATGCACAACACTCTACATGGAACATACGAACAAATATATTTGAACATATATATATATATGCACACAAACATATTTACAATTAGATACGTACATATACACATAAATACACACATACGCAAAAATGCATTGAATTTAATTTAATTTTGCCTGACGAGTGCATTTAGCATTTATTATCTGATTTTTCTTTTTTTTTTTCTTACGCTAATTTATTACATACTTCGAACTATCGTTTCAATTTCCTTTCTAATTTAATTTTCAACATAGATTTGAGTTTTTAAATTATAGTAATAGATAAGATTAAAAAAAAAAAAAAACAATAATAATAGAATAAAGTGAACGAAAGGATCGAAGTAACGTGACTCGTGGCGTTATAAACAAATTCAACTAAAAAAACAGATATATTATAAATATTCGCGAAATTAAAGAAAGATATTGTTTCACGCAAAAAGACGCATTTTTGTTATTGGCTTATTATTATTATTTATTCGACTGCCGTGCTTCAAGGCTGAAAATGCATACGTTATTATTTGTTACGTTTTATTTTTCTTTCGTACAAATGAAACGTTAGATATATCGATGATGACGAAGAGTTGATGAAATCTTGAACAACAAAAACATCCAGTGATAATTAACATTTGTTAATTATTTCAATTTTATTTTCTTTAAAAAAAAAAAAATAATCGATATGTCGAACGATCATTTCTCATCGTTCACGATTCGATTTTGGTGAGAAAAATTAGAAAAGTTTGATATTTTTTCAAATTTTGCACACTTTATTCAGTTTTATTCAACTTGAAAGATAGGATAGTTTATATCTCAGTTTATAATCGCAATTGACTTAAAGACGTGTGTATCGGACTGATTGTGAGCCACAGCAACGCTCTCGATTAATCGAATCGCGAACGAATGTACGCTTGAAATAATTTTGTTGTCCATGTTTCGTTCCTATCTATTTGTCTGTCTGTTTATACTAATGATATTGCTCTTGCATTATGTTTGCAGAACGCGTCAAAAGATAAGGTAAAATTGAAAAAAATTGCCGATCGTTTAAGTTCGGCATGCTCGTGTAGGAAATTTCTAGAGAATGAAAGTCAAACGTGTGAATGTGTGTTGTAATCGAACGAACGAATGAAACGAATAATTGAAAGTAACCAAAATAGAAAGTAGCGAAAGAAAGACAAATTAATTTCAATGAAGTAAAAAGCTTGTACGTTTATTTGGCTTAAACGCTGCTAACTTTTTTTTTGAATATTTCATTTTCCGTCATTACATTTCATTATTTTTCTTTCATCTTCCAACGTTAATATCTTCACAATAAAACAACATTTTACAGATCGAAAAGAATTCATTGATTAATTAATGAATTAATTTTTTTTGTCGTAGTAACGTAGAAATATTCGTCGATCGTTCATTTTGTGTCTCTGGCTGCTATTTTACTATTTGAATTTTGTGTTCGTCAAATTTTTTAATATTACAATGTAATTTGCCAAGCGCGATTTTTTTTTTTTTCTATGCACGGCTTTTTTTGGGGATTTTTTTTTTTTTTTGTAAGTTACAAATTACACAGAGATTTATTTTCATTTTCGCGAGAAGGAGAAGAAGAAGAATAAGAAGAAGAAGACGAAGAAAACTGTGACAGTTCGCGATATTTTTCGATTAAGGATCTTTTCGACAATTCTTTTCTTATTTTATCTTTCATTTGATTTTTGTAAGTAGATAACGAACAGAAATTATTCACGAAGACGACGATTTATCTGCGTTCCGGCCCTTTACCCCTTGCTTTTGCGATCGTTCACCCTTTGGCACCCCTTTACAAATAACCAAGCCAAAACGTGTGAAGAATTGACCATGCAAATATTTGTCAATTTCTAAAGACCTTGAGGATATTTCATTTCTCACACTGGTTTCTCTCTTGATTTTACAGAAAAAACCTGACTGGTCTAAGAAGGGCGAGGAGAAGAAGGTAAAGGAAGAAGAAGTCGAGGCGTGAAACAAAATGGATCGATCGATAAAAGAAAATATCCATCCCCGTCAATGTTTTCCTCGAATGATACGACCATAAATGGATATTTTATTTTTTTCGAGCTTATAACAAACGGCTCGGTTCTTTAAATAATTATTAATAATTACCCCCGTTCCTTATTTTTCGTTTGTTCTTCATTTATTTTTTTATTTGTTGTTCTTCTTCTCTCTTTCTTATTTGTTTCTTCAATTTGTAATGATAATTCTTTAACAAATCTCGATGTTCCTGTCAAAAGTCAATGTACATTGAATCCTTCAATTGTCTTCTCTAATCCTTTCTAATTATTGTTACACATAATCCGTTTAGAAGATATTTATTTCCATTGATCTTCACACAACACACTTTTATTTATATTCTATCACACGTCGAACGCGAAAGCTTCAATGAAAAGCGAAGATGACTGCGACAAAATAAGGGAATCTTTATTTAAGGTTTATTGTAAAGCAAAATACTTGACTACAAAAATGAGTGTGTGCTGTTGTCATTTACTTGTACCCTTCTTGTACATCTCCCATATTGTTAACCCCCTTTTGTAATCGTAAGTATACGTATGCGTTATGTTTCGAATAATCGTATCGTCGAATAATAAACGTCGTTGAAAGTATTTTTTTTTTTTTTTTTTTAATACAAAATATAATTTAAATAAAAAAATTAGTCATTTCCAATGTTATCATCTCCTGCTCTTTTCTACTATTCGTTTACCACATTTGATGTTAATAAATGAATGATTTCCTTCTACGTGTATTTCTTACGTGAGCTATAACACAAGTGAAAGTGTCAAAGACGTATGAATATTCTACTGGGAATAATCAATTATGTTAATTATATGTTTCAACATTTTTGTACACCTTTTTTTTGTGATCTAATTAGTGTGTTCTGTCGATCGTCGAGCCCCCGAGCCTGTTTGGTAAGATCACTGACAATAATTTATAAATATAACATTCTCTTTTTTGGCAAATTGCAAGCAATTATTTTAAAGTAAAAATACGTAGACATATTTGCAGTAGTTATATAGTAAAGTAGAAAGCAAAGAAACGTTTGATCAGCTGTAGAAAAAAAGAGACATTAGGTTTGAAAAGTACGTATACCTTGTATATATATAGGAACCCGAAGCTCCACCTCCTCCACCCAAGGAACCTGCACCAGCTCCAGCCCCTGCACCTGAACCAGCACCAGCACCACCACCACCCGAACCAGCCCCAGCGCCGCCTGCTGAACCACCAGCACCAGCACCTGCACCGGAACCTGCTCCTCCAGCGGCTGCCCCACCAGCCGGTATTGATATTTATTTATATCTGAAAGAAAACAATTAAGTGGTAGGATTTGAAGTGATACGATTCTCGACGTATAGAAGGTGCTCCAGCAGCCGAAGGAGCTGCACCACCACCGGCTGAAGGAGCTGCTCCAGCACCAGCCGAAGGTGCACCACCTCCAGCCGAGGGTGCACCTCCAGCTACCGAAGGTGCACCCCCAGCCGAAGGTGCACCCCCAGCCGAAGGTGCACCTCCAGCAGAGGGAGCACCACCGGCAGCCGCCCCTGCCGAAGGAGCTGCGCCTCCTGCGGAAGGTGCTCCTGCGGAAGGTGCACCTGCACCCGCTCCTGCCACCGAAGGTATCCAAATTTTTACTCGAACAATTATGAGAGAGTGGACACTACCTAGATTTCGAGTAATCGAATGATTTATTTAGGTGCACCACCAGCGGAAGGAGCACCACCGGCTCCAGCTCCAACGGCCGAAGGTGCAGCTCCTCCTGCGGATGCAGCAGCACCACCAGCAGCAGCTCCACCAGCGGATGCTGCAGCCACGCCAGCAGCAGCTCCTCCAGCTGATGCAACGGCACCACCACCAGCGGATGCAGCAGCACCACCAGCAGCAGCTCCACCAGCGGATGCAGCAGCACCACCAGCGGCAGCTCCACCTGCGCCAGCGCCTGCTGAAAGTTCGTCTCATTAGTATATTCATATTTAGAGAAAATGTTCTATAATAGAAAAATTGGTCGCATCGTCCTATCCTTGCGGTCGTAGCAGTCGTATCGCATCAAAGTTGGTTGCGTCATTAATGTTCTTCTTTTTTTCAAATTAATTTTTAGCTAATCTTGTTTTGATTTTGAGAGTTTCGATCGTCATCAGAAGAAATGATACACCAAATAGAGCTAAGTACATCACGAACGGTACGTCGAGACACGAAATAGAAAACGTAGTAGACAAGGATCATTAGTAGAACGATTAATAGTCGTATCTTAGAGTTCATTAGTAATCGTTTAGTTGAAAAGTGTCATAATTAAGTAGTCTCATCTTAAAACGTATTAGTACGTGCCTTGTTCTTCATAGTTCATTCGTCTTCTTCATCGTTTACATATCACGTCTTGTTATCTCGTCTATCATTATTCATAAAACTTACCACCAAAGGCGCAGTATCTCGTCGAATCTCGAAAAAATCGAGCTACCCTGTTGCGTTACTACTAGTTAATCGTCGTCGAATTAATAACTCTGCTCGTGACGTTGGAGCTCCTATCTTCGTTTCAAAATTTTCATTTCTAATTAAAACTCATTGAACTTTGTATTTAATCGTAATTAATACAACAAATGAACTATTTTATTTCAGCACCTGCCTCGTAATTATGTCGAGACAATCAACGAAATACGAAGACATGATCTTCGTTGAACACAGCGAACAAACACATCAGCATTATTACCTTTCGTTTATCGCCATTGGTCATCGTCACGGTCATCATCGTGGTCATCATCGTGGTCATCATCGTGGTCATCATCTTCATCGCCATCGTTCGTCGCGATCATCCTCACGAAGAAGACAGGAACAAGAATAAGGAGCGTCTTATCATTAAACTTCATCTACGATAACATTTTGAAACGAACGCCGTGTCCTAGAAGAAAAAATAAAACAAACACACAATATAGATGATTTATACTTAATCTTGCACATAAGTGGTCACTGCATTCGTTTCAAATCTATGCGAACAATAGAAACAAATCTTATTACGTATGTAACGCACGAGAATATGTGTGATCCGTTAGCTTTGTAAATAATTCACGAAACGTTCGATTAATCGAATAGTTCCGTGCTCACACATGTATACATACATACACATATACATATATATTTATTGATAGAACGAAAGCTCTGTTTTTTTTTTTTGAACAAAAAAAGAAAAGAAAAATAAGAAAAATTAGATTTCGTAATAAAAGCTTTCACCATCGATCATCTTACCTTTTATCGATTGAAAATAGAACTGAAATTTTCTATAAAAGAGGGACGTCTCGTGTAAGATCTCTTCAATGAAAAACCTTATGCATTTAGCCAATAATACAATGACGCTAATATAAATCTAAAAAGTATGAAAAAAAAGAAAAAAGAAAAAAGAAAAAAAACCAGTAACGATAATCTGATTCCTTTATCGTTTCCTTTGGCAAACGTATGCTATCGCACGATTGAATTATGTTACGTTTTTTCAAAGTTGACATTACGAAGAGAAATAAAAAAGAGAAAGAGAGTATCGTATCGCATTTACAGATGAAATCGTTATATGCGATAATAACTAGCGAAGCAGTATTTGATATCTCGATGAATGTTATGGGGAAAAAGTTAGTCGAAATGATATAGCAGCGTGCGCATAGTGGCATGGTAGAAGGAGAGAGCGTGGGGCGTGCGGAGTGGTGGGAAGTCGACTCGGAGGAGTGGGGGAAGCCGGCGCGCCGCGAGTCCGTCAGTCGCGCTCAATCCTTCGGAGGGAGTAGTGTATCGCGTTCCATTACATTTTCGCAACTTTTTTACGTCCTTCGAACGTACTGCCACGGTGTATCGTCTTATTTTATTTTATATTAATATAAAATTATAAATTATATTATATTTTAGATTAATAAAAAGTTTCGAAGGTCGCGCGACGATTACGCGATCTCGCGGTCGATTTTCGTGCTGTGCGTGCAAACAGGAAGAGGATCTACGAGGAAGACTGCACTTTATTTAAATGTTTCTTTTTTTAATTAATTAATTATCTTTTGTACAAATTCTCCTTTGCGTATAAAAATCTTGCGATCAGTTTGTATGGACATTTTACTTGCACCAAGGGTCTTCCTACGTTGCATCGCATCAAACTCTGATTAATCGAAGGAACTTCAACGACTGGCTCGGTAAGTAAATGAAAATTTAAACAACCAGTTAAACAATGATCACGGTATAATCTTTTTCTCTGTTTTATTTGATTTAAATTTTGGTTTATTTGATGATGATCTTACCGGTTGCGTCCTTGTCCTCGTTCTAGCCTAGTCTTCGAGAGACATGGAGAAGTAAGTAGTTGACTTTCAGAACCTTGGATACGTTTCTTTTTATGACGTAGAGAGATCGCAGACGTTACGTGAAAGATAGAATAGTATGAAAAAGAAGATGGAAAGAAAAAGATACCTATATATATGTATAGTGTATAGAAACGTGTATAGAAACGCGTGTGTTTGGAGAGAGCCACAGTTGTTGTTCGTGTCTCTCTTTCGAAGCGATTTATCGTCTTTCTCAACCAACCAATCATTTTCTTTCCCTATTCTATCTAACTTTAAGTCTATTGGCCATTCGATGAAAGAGACCGCTTGGCGCTACTTTTACAAACGCGTTCGTTCCTTCATACGTTCAACTCTTACAAATATTTACCTTTTCCACGAGATCTCTCTATTTGCCTAACCATTCGTATAAGATAGATGTATGTATATTTAAATTTCTTAGTAAATCGATTCTAACATACAATGATAAGTATTATTCATTATCTTTGATGTATAATCAGATTTTATGAGAATACCGAATGTAACTAAAATAATTCTACGCAGCAAACTTTTACAATGATTTCTTTTTTTTTTTTTATTTGATAGAATTTTAGGGTACTTACGTATTAACGCCATGACATCGCAACAAAAATTCCGCTAATGTGCAAATAAAGAACAATCTTGTTGTTCGCATACAACAACCTTGCTGTTTGCATACGACAACCGTCAAGGTTGCGTCAGGATTATTGACTACTTTTTCTAAATAAAATGTTTGGAATTTTCAAAGTGTTTCGATTTTAAATAAAGTTGTTTTTTTTTTTTCTATTATTTGTCGCAACAATTTTAAAATGTAGATTAGCGGCGCATTAGCGAAATTTTGCTGCGGTGCCGTTAATACGTAAATACCGAATGTTATTTTAAACGTTAAAACGTTACAACAAACCGCGATTACATTTCGTTAAAGTTTACACGTATATTTTTGTTACATCTTGTAGACATTTAATCTCATTATTCTCGAGTTAAGATAAAGAAAGAAACCAAAAAAAAAAAAAAACACAGGTAAATAATATCAAATGAATTGGTTTAATGCAAGTTAAGAAAAGTTGAGATGTAATTGAAAGAGAAGAGAGTTAACGGAAGTGGACGTTAATTAAACTAATAAGGTCTCGTAAGATCTCGTAAGTGGGTTGGGGAGGTCCTTTAAAAGAGAGGAGGACTTTGTCAATATCGCGTTTACCTTCGTATTATACTTCAAATCTCAACGCGATTCACGAATCATAGCCTTAAATGGAGATCAGCTTCCAAGTCCTTCTCTTCTCCTCCTCCCCTTCAATGCAAATTCGCATCGTCGAGTTACACGAACGTTGTTGGGTTAGTGCACCTTTTACCTTATTCCTCTCCTCTTTACCTTTTCCTCCCTTTCAAAGTTTCTACTGCCAATTAAAAGACTCCTTTTCGAGCGACACGAACGAGCTCCAAACTATTATCGATATATTTGCTACATTGTGCAACTATCTTTTCTTTTTTTTTTTTTAACTTTCCTTTGTTTCTAACTAGTCTTCGAATTTTTACGCTTCAAAATCAAATTCAATAAAATAACAATCATTTTTCTTTAATATTATGTTTCAACACGTTCGTCGCCCAGCAGCCAGTTTCGGTTGAGTTTCTCGTCAGGCCCAAAATTTAACTATCGGCGCGCCTATGTAACGTAAACAAGCGATAAGTAGAAATATCAACAATGGCGACCTGAGTATTATGGTTTTTTACCGAAAATAATCAAATATAAAAATATCGTTTATTTATCGAAAATAATTTTCTTTCGAAATGGGAAATGTGATAAGTTTTTTTCCAACTAGAAATACTATAACTTTAAAAAGAAGAGCGTCACCGTATACGGTGCCATGGTGACGAACGTGTTAACTCATTTAGAATAATGATAAAGAAGAGGACGATGATACGTTTGATATTTTTGGTTTGTTTTCTTGTTCTTTTTTTACTTTTTTTTTTTGCAGAGATCTAGAGAAAAGGCCAATGTCCGTGATCTTGTTGGTTATATCACGAATCGTGTCGTGAGTCACGATCTCTCAACGTTATTAGTTACCGTTCGTTCTCGTGACTTCCTTGCCAAGAAGGAAGAAAACAACTTCCAATTGACTACACAACCGATCTTCCTTCTTTCTTTCTTTCTTTCTTTCTTTCTTTCTTTCATTCGTCTCCCTCATTCCCCCCGTTCATTCGAAGTTCCACCACTAAACTGTTATTTCGTTTTTTTTTTTTATATCATTTTTTTTTCGAAAGATTAATCGCTAGTTGAATAAACAGAAAATCTAGACCAGAAAAATCAATCCACTTGATATACAAATCTTGACGTATTATCACTTCTTTAATATCTTTGCTCTTATTTTAATAAACGTTACGCGAATATTATCGTTGGTTAAATAATTTGATTAACGCACTTTTACACGTACTCTTCTTCTTTATTGCTTCAAATTAATGTTGATAATGGTATTAGATATCACGGATTTATCTACAATCAAGGACAATTCATTTTAGTTTGATTGCATTTATTCATCAAAATTTAATGACATTTATTTAAAAATAAATAAATAAATGAATGCATAGGTTCCATTTACTCGTGATAACAAATTGAGAAAAGCTTTCATCCAACTTTTGCCATTAAATTAAATACAAATATCATTATTTTGTAAATTAAAAGACCAAACTTTTTTACAGATCTATAATGTATTCAGTATAAAAAAAAAAAAGAGAGAATAAATAAATGAATACATTAAAATGTTGCAAATAGAAAGTAAAAAAGAAAAAAAAAAAAGAGTGTTCCGGACGAATTAAAGTCGCATTTCCTTTTGCTGGTCAAACGTATCGTGACCTCTGTTTTATTGAATAGATTGATCGTGATAATATGTAACGAGCTGAAGCAAAGTGAGGTCGATTGGCATAATCGAATGAAGTAACCAAGCTTTAGTTAAAAACTTCTTTTAGTATACTTGAACTGCGTGCGTCAAGGACCGGAAGGAAGATACATATGGATTGTACACTTTTGTTTTGTTTTGTTTTCGTTTTGCTTAGTTGTTAACCGATTCTTATTAAAGGGAAACCAACCCCACTTTGTTAGTAATATAAACGATGATGAATCTCAGGACAGGTTGAAAAGGATTAAGAAGATTACCTGTTGCGGTGCTAGGCACATCGAAGCGAGAAACGACCAAGAGAAGAAACTAGAAAGAGAGGATAGAGAAACGAACTCGAGTGTTTCGAGGTGAATATCCTCTCTGAATATCACTGCTCTATGTATATATATATATATATATGTACATATATATGTGTATGTGTGTTAAAGTATGTAATACCAATGATTCTTATATGGCATCCTCCCTCTTATAAACCTTTCCTATCTTTATTAACTATCATTTATTTGTTTTTTTTTTTTTTTTTTTTTTTTTNTATATATATATATATATGTACATATATATGTGTATGTGTGTTAAAGTATGTAATACCAATGATTCTTATATGGCATCCTCCCTTTTTTTTACTTTCTCGTTCGATTAATATAATTATTTGCATTTTATTTTGATTTTTCTTTTTTTTTTCTTTAGGACAATTAGCCGAGCGGTGGAAAATCTTCTTCGAGGATTCTTAAATGGAAATGCATACCAAAGATCGATCCGAATTTACTCACCAATGACGCATTGTAAGTTATCATTTGAAATATTAATATTATTAATTCAAGTAAAACCATCATTAGTTATTTTGTTGATATCTTTTTACGTTACGTCCTTTGACTCGTTGGACGACGAGAGCGTGTTCCGAAGACCGGCCAGATGTTCTCGATCGATTTACATCCCGCGATAAGACGAAGGGAATCGATAGACCGCGTTGGATATATTACGTTGGAACTGATTCGTAATAAGAGCAAACTAAAGTGTTGGAAATCGTTCGCGTCAATCCAGTTCTATATTATACATTTTGTATTTTATTTTATTTTATTTTATTTTTTTCTTTTTTTCTTTTGTTTTGTTCTCAACCGAGTGAACGAAGAGATCGATAAAACGAGTAATAGCAACTCGAAATCTTTTAACAACATTCTTCCACGGCAATTAGAACGTTGATTGACTACAAGAAGAAAAAAAAAGAAAAGAAATATGAATGTTAATTTAGTTTTATTTAGTTGGAAAAACGAAACGAAACTGGTTTTGAATAAGAAAAGATGTACGTTCGACGTGTTTCATGCAAATGGCACATGTATATAACGAAGTACGTTAATTCGTACGCTCTGTCTTTCTAACGGTACGACGACGGTGTATCTAACGTTGCTCTATTTAAACTACTCGACTTAGTCGCCATAATCCAAGCTTGTTTCGAGTTTCATTCGTTTCAACGAAACACAACAGAGCACTCCCTTCATTGCCCGTTGCCAAGCCCGTTTTCAATCTTACATTTTAAACGCGTATATATACAAGTGAAACGTTTCAAGAAAATACGTACAAAAGTAATCAAAAAAGACTATTTCATTGAGAAATTTGGTCTTTTTTTCAATTGAAAACTTCTTTAGAATGGGTGTGATTTGAAAAAATGTAACGGAGGCGGTAGAGGCGGCTATGTAACGGAGCGGTGGGAGGCGATGAAACGGCCGCGATACTAAATAAAAAGAGAATACAATTATCCTACACCAGATTATTTCGTATTCGTCTCATTTTCTCGAAACTTATCTAGTTTTTTTTGAAGATTTCACTTTTAACACGTGTGATCTGCACACATGTTTTTTTCTTTTTTTTTCTATCTAATCCTAGGAGGAACCTAGCAATAAAAAGCAACGCGGGGGTTTGTGAATGGCCGGCAAGGTTAATGCGATTGAATGATTGGCTCGATTGGAAAATTGGTCGTCTACCGTGTACGTTATAGGACATTGGGATAAATGAGGATATATCTAGGCTGGGAACGTGGCACCGTTCAACGTGCGAGCCAATTGATGGGAATGGATCGAACGTGAACTCCCCCAATCGTCTATAACTATACCTAACTATTATTATATATACACACACACACACACAGACAGACCAGCAACGCAAGACAAACTCTTACTCTTTGCACTTTTATATTTCCACCGGACGTTTCATCATCGTCTACGTTTCTTACCGATCATTACCGATTGTTACTTCGACATAGAAGAAGAAACATGCTCTCTAATGTCTATTACACATATGTTTTCTTTCTAAACTTTTCCCCTTGTTCCCATTTTTGGAATGGATCGAACGCCAATCATCCAATCGTTTATAATCGTAGCTGACTGTTATTTACCAGTGAAAATGCAATCCCAAATTGTACATTTCCTATGAGTCTTTCATTACAGATTGTCACTTTGAACTATAGAAACATGTGTTTTCACTTTTATAGCTTTGCAATTATCTTAACATTGTTACTGATTGTTCTACGCTAGTAATTTAAAGTCGTTCGCAAATTTGTACTTTTTCAACCGGACGTCTCATGCAAGATACTTTTTCCAAGTCATTACAGATTGTCATTTCATACCAAGAAACGTGTTTTAATGTAACACCTCTGCGTTTATAGCTTTCCCCTCTTCCTTTTCTTCTTCTTCTTCTTCTTCTTATGTTCGAAACCGCTTGAGTAACAAAGGAACGTATCAAAAGGGCGTACGGAGTCACACCCATTTTGTTTCCTTTTCCTTTTTTCCTTTTGGTTTCTTCTCTTTCTCTTTCGACACTTTCACGACCCATCCCACCCATCTTCAAAAAGAAAAAAGGAAACGTCTTTTTTCCTTTTACGTTTCTCTTTCCTTTTTATTTGACACTGATGAGTCGTAGAAAATGTTAGAATCATGTCGAAGGAAATAGGTGGAGAAAATATTAAACGTCTCGTATATATATATATATATATAGCTACCGTTACCTTTCAAACTTTCGTCTTTTATTTTGTCCCTAATCTCACCCTCCACCATCCCTTATTTTTCTTTTTTTTTTTTTTGATATGTTATAGTGTCGGTGACGAGGTGACGATCGATTCGGTGACGCGTTTCGACCCAAATCGATCGAAGATGGCTAAAAGTTCCGAAAGATTACCTGGTACATCTTCCAGATTAAGAACCAGAGACGATGGATGCTGTTCGGTCAATTTTCTCAAATATGTTTTACATATTTACAATGTCGTCTTATTTGTAAGTATTATTTATTTCATTTATATTTGTGTTTTCAACAATCGTAATCTTCTTCTTCTTCTTCTTAATATATATAAATTACGTGTGATGTTGTTTATCCGCAATGGATTCCTAAACTATTRAACCGATTTTAATCAAATTTTGCACACTGTATGCAGTTTTGTCCAACTTGAAAGATAGGATAGTTTATATCATTCTAACAGATGGCAGTATAAGGTAATTCGTTGCTGATTGTGAGCCACAGCAACGCGTGGCGGGACACCCCTAATGTAATTATAAAAGAAATCAAGTCTACGGGGTTACATTGGGATTTATCGAACGAATTCGTAAAATATTTGTATATTTGAACAAAATCAATATATCCACCCGCATTGGTCGGTCTCTATTTGAATTTGATTTGAAAAATATATATCGGGAAAAACTAGTTTCCATGAAAAACGCCTCCGCGAATAGAATTCGGCCGTTTGCCAACGCTTTTCCGCTTAGAATGTTCCAATTGCTTCACTCTACGCATCGTTATGCGAAATTATGCAAATGCGTGAATTACAAAATGTCGAGAGACAGAGAAAGACAGAGAGAGAGAGAGAGAGAGAGAGAGAGAGAGAGAATTACGTAATGTTCGAAACATACAAATTTTGTAAGTACGTATTTTATGAAAGTGAGAGAAAGAAAAAAAAGAAAAAAAAGGAAATAAAATAGATTCAGATTAGAAACAGATTTTGCATGACGATGATGTAAGGGAGATCGAATTTAATGAAAATTTATTATGCAAAATATGTTAAATCAAATTTAAATATTATAACGCGAAAATGTAAAATGCGATGAGATTGAATTTTACAACAAAAGTTTCTCTTGGCAAAATTGCGAAAGATCGAAACTTGTACAAGTTTTTTCTATGCAAAAAATAAAAAAAAAAGATTGGATTTAATAAATGTTGTATGCATAATAGATGAACAGATTAGAAGGATTAAAATACACATTCTCTCTCTCTCTCTCTCTCTCTCTCTTTCTCTATTTCTTTCATCAGACATTTTAAATCGAGTAGAGTTTATCGGCTCCCACGTTGTAGAACGCAGTGAGAAGGTTGATTGGTCCAAGCGTTGTAAATAAGGGACTAGCTATCGCCGAGAAGGGATCTTTCTTAGACATATGCTAATGGATACCTACCTTTAACTTGGTTGCGTTCATCCGTCTCCCCTCAGTCCTCATTTTGCTTCTATCAATTCTCTATATCTTCATCTAAAACTTCAAAACGTACCCCAGTCAAAGGAGATTCGTCGTCGGATTAACCCTTTAATGCATGTACTTTCTCAATTATTCATCATTCTCACAAATTTCCTTCTTATTATATTTTTCAATGCTTGTAATTTATCTTTATAATAATATTTTTATTGAAATCATTTGTGTTTTTTGTATAAAAAAAAAAAAAAAAACAATTTGCACGCATCGAAGGGTTCAAATCTATATTTATAATTTATTAAGTGATTCGAAAAGTAATTTCGTTTTTTGTTGACACAATTAATGGCATTAGTTGATGCAAACCGACAAATAGTAATACATGAGATCGATCGATAAGATGTTAAATTGATCAAATTCAATTATTTATGCCAACTTGAAGGGCCTAGGTTGTTTAACCTGGAAACGAAAATTGTCTTCATTTTTGCAAAAGAAAAAAACGAAACGACTTTCCGTACCATCAATATTTCAATAACATTGTTATAATAGCTTCCGGAAAAGATATCAATCTTTCGTAGAACTTATAGGAATAAAGCAATCTCTCTCTCTCTCACTCATTCTCTTTCGGTATGTATATTCATGAGGAGAACCTAAAATTGGACACGATCCGACATATTTTGGCGAGGGTGAGAGAGAGAGAGAGAGAGATAGATGAAAATCTTGCCTTCATAATTACGTAAACACACAAGGATGTTTATGTTACATCAGTGGCTCTGCACCACTTGATACCGTTATATTTATATCGATGAGATCTATGCGTTGTTGTATGTATGTACTAGGAATTTATGACAGGGATGAAAATAGATCGAAATTACTATACTACGATTAAATTCTACAAGAAAAAGATATATATGTTTTTTTTTTTTTTTAATGGTTTAATAAACTATTGGATTGTTTAGAAAATAAATCTCGATAGGTGACACAAAGTTTTGTTTGCTAACAAAATCAGAGAAATTGCGTTGCATTTCAATCTTCTATGAAAATTGTTACGAATTTTTCCTGACAATTCAATATTATCTACTCGCATTAAAAAGAAAAAAAAAAAACAAAACCTTTTATTTGATTTTATATTTGAATTTGTAATTTATAAAAGAAAGTTCTATCGTTGACGGATTAACGACGACAACAGAGAGAGATATGTTGGTGCTGCTGGTCTCGGTGCAACGTGTTTAGATGATGTCTGGGATGCATCTAAAGAGAAATGAAAGGGGGAAAAGAGAAAGAGAAAGAGAGAGAGAGAGAGAGAGAGAGACAAAGAGAAAGATAAAGACGATAGGTATTGCGGGGGCGTTTGCGGAGGCGTTTCGAAGCTGTAGAGTTGAAGACCTGGTCGTAAGAGAGAGAATTCCAGAAAACCAGTCTAAGCGAGATTTTCAGGTTTCTCGGGGCACACACCACCACGAAGTACTTTGAATGAACGAGCGTGGACAGCTCGCGTGCTAGTTACGCTCATAACTTTGTTTCTCGATCTTGCGATATACTACCACGCATACACACACACACACACACATATGCACACACTAGTGCTATGCTAGAGAAAAAGTTTAGGGATACTCTAAGTTAGCATATTTTTTATCAGATCATCCTTATACGTTCTCTTTAGTTTTTCATGGAAACTTTCAAAATAATTATACGAATAGATAAACAGTTGTTTCATTCATTTATTATTATTATTATTATTATTATAATTATTAACCCTTTAGACTATGATATGAAGTTTTTTCTTAGAACTACTTGTATAAATCATCTGCGATGATATAACACGCTTGACTTCATTTCCATATGACTAATAGGTTTGCGATAAAATCTCGATGAATATTAGAGAGAGAGAGAGAGAGAGAGAGAGGGTTTTTATTTTTGATGATAACATTTATGACAATTATTCGATAATTAAATTCATAGCTCGGAGATGAAAAACAAAAAGAAAAACAAAAAAACACATGATTGTAACTCACGATTTAATGCGTGTCATATTTTCAACATACATGTATTCATTAATTTACAGTTATCCGGATTTGTGGTGGGCGGTATTGGCATTTGGACGGTCGTCTCGAAACACAGCTACGTATCTCTGATGACAACGTCGACCTATCAGAGTCTCGCATATGCCCTCATTGTTGCAGGTATTTTGGCTGTTGTTGGAAGCTGGTTAGGATGCGGTGGAGTTACCACAGAAAACAGATGTGTCCTCTTAATTGTGAGTTCATTTCCTTATCTTAATTTTTGTCTTTTTTTATTTTATAATTAGCATAAGTTAAGATAACGAATTATCGTTTATAGAAATAGACCGAAGAGATGTTTCCAAATGGCCTTGATCCTTATCCATTCTTTTTTTTTTTTTAAGCATACATTATGATGTAAAAACAAACTGGAAGAATCGTTAATGGTGATAAGTCTTTATCACTATACTCCAATGACCGAGTTTTTCTTTTATCATTCCCTCTCTTTCTCTCTTTTTCTCTTGAACACATTTTGCCTCTCAATGTTTACCTTTTTTAACAAAACAAAGAAAAGATTCAATCGAATTAGCAACAGGTGTGTATTTGTTATTTAAATGATCGTTGTTATCGTTGTTTCACTTTTTAATGATAAACGAATTTCTATGAAGGGATTCAATATTTAACAAAATATTTCGCAAAGTCTCGTTTAATTTCCTTTCTTGGTGATTCCATTGGCGATATTCTACTCGCGATCCCTTTCACCGCCTACGTACAAACAACGTACTTACGTACTTACGTACTTATGTACTTACGTACTTATATCTTATCGGTTCTCTCGTTAGTTGCTTAAACCATGTACGAACGGTCAATTAAGATTTTTCTTCGTGCTCGTTAATCAAATCGATTTATAAACTAACGCGATTTACCGAATCGAATCGAATCACGTACGTAATTCCTTTTACAACTAAGACATAATATATCTGTATGTTTTTTTTTTAAATTATTCGATTAGATTTATAAGTAAAAATAATTGTATTTTGTAAAATTAATTAGAATGTTTGATTTATAAAATAATGTTTTTTTTTTCTCAGTACGTTTTCATCGTAATGGCAGTGCTCGTGTTAGAAGCAGGAGTTGGTGCATTGGCACGTCTCTACGAGGAACAAATAGGTCCAGAATTGAAGATGAATCTCAATCGTACCTTTCTCGATTATTATTCCATAAGATCGAGAGAAACCGAAGCTATCGATAGAATGCAAAAAGAAGTGAGTATGGTTTGTTTATATTGAAATATCGAACGATTTATCAAAAGTAACGAACATCAAAAAAATAAAAAAAATGATTCACAGTTTAAATGTTGCGGTGCACTTCGATTTGAGGATTGGTTGGTAAGTGAATGGCACAAGGACGAAGAAGTTCAAAAAAATGGAAGCCGCGTGCCAGATAGTTGTTGCAAAACGGAGACGTTACTTTGCGGAAGGAGAGATCATCCTTCTAACATTCAATACACGGTGAACAAAATATGCTGCAATGAAATAGTAGATTTGAAATCTTAACGAATCTTTTGATGTTTTCTTTTTTCTCTTTTTTTTTTTGCAGGGTTGCATTTACAAGTTTCTCGAAACGACCAAGGATCATTTGATAATTCTTGGTGCCGTTGGTCTTGGTCTCTCCGTTTTAGAACTTTTTGGTATAGTTCTCGGTTCATGCCTTTATATCAAACTTAGGCACGATTTTGATGATTGACTATGACGTTGTACAACCAACGAACAACGTTCTTACGACTAAAAGAGAGAAATCCATTTGGACCAGTATAATAAGAAGATATCACGTCGATCGTCCCTTCCTGTTCAAATTTATTTAACGATTTTTGATACTTTGAACAGGAAGTACGAATAAACTCGCTACAATTATTAAAAAAACTGCCTGTACCCAAGAGGAATTGTCCAATCAACGAAACTCTTGTCTACTTTTTACGCGTCCTGCTATTTTTTTTTTTTTTTTTCAAATCGTTCCAAACGAACAGAATTTTATTCAATATTTTTCATCATCTGTCAATTTGAACGAAAAAACAACAACGACGAACGATGATGCAAGTTCATTTTTTGTGTGTTACTTTTTAAGATAAACAAGATCTGATCGTTGAAGCAATGAAATCATTGCGGAACAGTGCCTTTGTCGAATATAAAAAGATTTTATTTATTTTATTTGAAAAAAGAAAAAGAGAAAGATCGAAGACTAATGTAATCCAATTTAATCTTCTCTCTCTTTCTCTCTCTTTTTTCACCAACGTGCCAAGAATAGAATGAAATTTATGGAAACGAAAGATCTTTATATATATATATATATGTATTTATGTATTTAATTAACTGTTTGAAGTAAAAAATTCAACTCTACGAAGCCTTATTATATACAGCACGATAATATTCAATAGCAAATGCTTAATTTCTCGTATAAAGAAACAAAATTATTTGCATGAGAAAACAAAAAAGAAATCATTGATCGCATTTACTTCGCATAAATATTATTATTGCTTTTTTTATTTCTCTCTGTGCCAATTATATTTTACGATTATATTCCAATCTATCTCTCTTCTTTCATTTTTTATTACTTCCGATATTAACGAAATAATAAGACTTTTTACAAAGGAAATAAAACGAAAAAAAAAAATAAAGAGATAACAAAGTTATATACAATAATTATTATAATTATCTTATAAATATATTTAAGATGATCTTTTAAATGTTAAGCATTAGATCAACTTTATACATATTGTACATATCAAACGCTCTATATTCTGTTACGAATAAATACGAAAATTGCTGCAAATTTTCTGCGACTAAAAAATATTGTTAAACAAAAAATGTGATTTTTTATTTTTTAATGAAAAAAAATGTTGTTACGTCGTTTGTATAGATCGTTGCATCGATTCAAGATGTAATAGCAATGCATCCTCTTTTATTCCAATTGTCACAAAGAACCATCCTAAAAGTGCAAGAAAATCTTTCGACATGTTTATTCGTTTCCAATTTGTTGTTAATTCGTCCAAAATTTCTTCATTAGACATCGTCTACAAAATGCATATTTTTATCGAAATAATTACGTGTAGATATTTTTTCAATTATTTTGTTATATTGAAAAACAAAACTTACGTTGTTCCACGAGGAGGTATTATTAAAATTTTCGCGATAATGAATCAACGTTAATTTGTCATCCACATTTGCATATGTTTCGTGTAAACATAAGGTCGTTAAATACAATGGAATTGCAATAACGGAACCAAGGTAATCTTTACAGATGTCTCTCGATCGATSGACATTTAAATGCGCTAGATCAAACCTTTCGAAAAAGAAAAAGCCAGTCAAAATATACCGATTGTCATGAGAACATAAATAAACGATTGAAATATTTATACGAACTTGTCGAACGTCGAGATGACGCAAAGAATGATCAGTAGAGAAAATAAACTACTGTAAATCTCGGAAAATCGTGAATACTTTGAGATAAAATCCATGGAAGAATTAAAAAAAAATTGCATCTAGAAAAAAGAAAAAAAGAAGAACCAAAAATTTATTTATCATTCGTGTACTATTTGTTTGAAAAAAAAAAAAAATAATGTTGTTAAAAATAATTCACCATTAGGAGATGTATCATAGCCATTCCACCTAAGATACCTTGATAAATAAACGCAACACGTTTGAAGAATTTCTGAGCTAATATGGCTATGCCGATTGGTGAATAAATCGTTTCGTATTTCGCGACGTAGGAAAGTTTGAAGATATTTTTACGATCGTCATCCTTTGTAATAATTTTAATCGTGCTAAAACCATTGTCACCTTGAACGTAGATCTTATCTGCAGTCAGTGGAGTGGGAGGCACGGGTTCTTCGTATTTTCTTAAAATATCTGTGATAGGTATTTCAATATTATTCGTTTGATCATCATCCTTCTTCTTACGTTTCCTTGACTTGTTACGTGAACGATTGCTTGTTGAAGAACGAACACGATTACTCGTACTCATACTTGAAGAAAGGATTTCATCTTTCTCAAAGACTTTCTTAACTTTATTAACGTCGTCTGTTTCAGTCTCAGCGGAAGAAGTGATTTCTAAAGTTTGATCTCGTTTCAAGGCTCTTCTCTTCTTTCTTCTACCGGATACACTTTGACGAGATTCTTTTATTTCTTCCTCTGATATTTCCAATTGATCCTTTGAAGGATCCTCCAACTCGAGTACGTTATTTCTTCTTTCATTTTTCAATTGATTCGATTCTATCTTCTTATCGTCAGTATCCTCTTCTGAGGACCATTTATTCCTGAGTCTTCGTTGTTTTTTCAAAAATCGATTTCTTTCACGATCGTTCATATTACCATTTATTGATAATTTTTTTTTATTAATAAATACACATACACGTAATTGTTTATTTTGATGCTACAGAGTGTACCGTTGACGAACATGCTTTTACTTTTGCATAGCAACATTCTGTTGTGTTAACAGTTGTCAAGGAACAAATGCGACTAAAATATCGATTTGTCTTTTAGTTTCTTTTTAAGGAGGAAAAGGAAATTTCATGAGATATTTTATAAATTTTTATTTAGATACGATCTTCAAGAATGTCTTTAATACATACTGTATAATTATCATTATCTATCACATATATACTTATCGTTAAAGATACTCTTTTTTGAAAGTTGGTCAATAAGTTGTTTAGGATTTTTTTTAGTATTTCATTTGTAAAAAAACAACATCAAGTATTATTAAATTAATACCACGTAAATAAATACATATTATTTAATATAAACAATTTATATAATATTATTACGTAATGTTGTTTATTTATATATAAAATTCTAAAATTACTTATTAGCCAACCCGACACATACTATTATTATTATTATTATTATTATAATTATTTATCTTAAACAATTAATCATTTTTCAATCATTAAAGCAAATAATCACTTCTTCTTTTTGTAGGTACATTTTCTAAATTATAATACGCGTATTACAGCTAAATATTTACAAGGGAGAAGATATATTATCACGATACTGAAAAATGATTTTTTTTATAAAACTTCTAAGTCGCAATGTCTAATTTCTGGATGAATTTTCTATAAAGATAAAAGTAGATTATATATACATGATTATATACAGAAAAAAAAGAAAAGAAAAGAAAAGTAATATTTTGCATACCTTTAATTTTAATTCTATTCTATCAATTTCACCGCCAAGCATGTCGACGATACTCTCACCGTGTTTTAACAGAAATGCTTCCAGTTCATCAATATTTTGCATACCTTTGACTTCCTACAAATTTCAAAATCAATTATAAATTGTCTTAAAATAAATGATAATTATAGCATCATTAATTTATATCATTTGACAAAGTAATTAGAAACTGTACCTCTAACATAGTAAGCAGGTCGTGTTTATCGAGATAAGATCTGGTTAATTCTCGTCCATCAAAATCTAATTCTGCTTTATATCTGACCAAATTGTTACCCATATCAATGCCTTTGACATCATGGATAGCTCGAACCTACGAACATTAATAATAAATGCAAATAGAATAATATCATTCATTTGTAGGATCTATTTGTAATGATTATTTTTACCATTATATCAGACTCTATGACAGCATTGATTTTGTCAAGATTTTCTTGCGATATACTTCTGCCAACCAAAGCTGCGACATTGGTATAAATTATAAATGATGCTACTCCACCAAGAAGACCACCGACTAACAAGGAACCGAGAGCATCAAAAGTTGAATTTCCTAGTAAAGAAGTTAAGCCCATGCAAGAAGCAGCACAAACAATCCCTAATACCTGGTGAATAATGAAAATATATATTCAAATATTTTTGTCTATTGCATTGCGTTCGACGATTGAAGAAACGAAAAATCTTACTGCTGCCAAATCTTCCATTAAAACAACATTGACAGATGGATCTTGACCAGACAACACGTATTCCCAAAAAGATTCTTTTTTCTCTTCGGCTCCTTTTTTAATTGAATTCATAGCTACCAACAAAGTGGCTCCTTCGGAAACTAAGGAACCACCTAAAATATAATATGCCCAATAAAAAGATTCAACGGGGGCAGGGGACATAAGTCCGTTAATTCCATGATAGACCGATAAACCTGTACCAACGCAGAAAATTCCTACGCCCGAAATTAAAGAGGATACGTATTTCATGTTGCTATAACCATATGGATGATCGGCATTAGGATTCTATAATATCATTATTTTTCATTATTATCTTATATATCATTTTGATTATATTTCATTTACCTGAACAGACTTGTGAATGCCATAAGCTAAAATCAATTGATTAAATGTGTCAGCTGCCGAATGTATACACTCTGAGAACATGCTATGCGAACCCGTATATATCCAAGCGAACAACTTAAAAAGAAAGTTACTTGCATTTCTGTAATTAAATGTAAATTATCGAATATTAAATTTAATGTCATACGAAAAAAAAGGGGATTATCAAAACGTACATTATTACTGCCGTTAATACTACTCGACCGGATCTACCAAACAAGCCTTCCATTTGAATCGTCTCTGTTTTACTGCCCATTTCACGTCTATAATCTCTCAGTCTTCGTTTGACAGTAAATATATCTATTACGAATGAGTGAATGTTGCAAGAGTAGTTTATGAAATATTAATAACTATTATTTCATTGAATAACTTGATATCTACTTACTTTGTTGATAAGTTTTCCGTTCTAGTTCTTTCTTCAAAAGCTCTTTTAACAAAGTTTCGCGAGACCCCCAGACTTCCAGTGCTCTAAAAGCAGTACAACCTTACTGCATTCGATCAAACATCTTCTGCATTGTTAACAATCATATATCGTGCTGTGACCCATGAAATAAATTCTCTTACTTAGCTTCAACATCTTTTCTCCAATAAACAGTAATCGGTGGTTCAAATTCGTATGGAGATCTTCGCTTTGTTTTAGGCAATGATTCAAGATCAGTCGGTTTCAACAGAAAGTCGGTCATAGCTTTTACCGGTGTTATGAAGTTGCGCTCCAATGACGACGTAGATCTATCAACTCTCAATCTTTTCTTGGCTGTAAGAACAAAAATAACATACAATGAATCCGTTATGTCCTCGTTCTCTTAATCAAAAAATACTACATACCCTTCTTAGATTCTTCTGTAGCAGTTTCTTTACTATCCGCTAAAATTTTATCCACGATATCTGCTACCTTTCTTAAGTCTTTCTTTTTCTTATCATCGGTCTTAACCATTGGCTCCACAGTCAAAGGTCGTTCTTTCAATTTTCCTAATTTCTCTTCGGTCAACTCAATACACTTCTCTTGACCATCTTCGACCGATATCTTCTTTTGTTGAAGCAAATCTCCATTTCCTGTTCCCTTTGCATTGTCAGATACTTCTCGCAAGGATACAATGTATGTCCATTTGAAATCTGTTAATTTGTCTGCTTTTTTAAAACTAAAATTACGTACACCAGGACTAGGTGTTATCAATATGCTAGAGTATCTCCTTGACAAGCCTATTTGAAAGATACATTGTTCATCAGCACAATGACAGCTAACATTTCTAATGAATTTAAGGAGAGTGTAAGATCTGTGCAACATCATTGATTTGTAAAATGTTTATTTGGATCTGTAAAAAAAGATACAATTATTATTCTTAATGGATGAACATTTTTCTATACTATCACTGTACATATCATCACAAGAAAGAAACAACAAATGTAAAAACTTTTCAAAGTTAAAATTGTTAACAGCATAACAGAAGTCTCTATATTTCAGATATATATATCTACATATACATATGATAGAAATATATGTGTATGATTTTTCGTATTCATAATTTTTATAAAATATCATCAATTCTATAAGACAAATACAATTTGGTTAAGAATAATTGACTCACAATTAAAGATCTTCACTGATCAATTTGAACTTGAGATTTAAAAATAAAACGAATGACTTTTTCACTTTAAACTAACAGAAACCATTTTGATGTGTTTCGTCGATGATGGGCTGAGGAAAGTTGTATTTTTTAAAACCATTAGGTTAATTTCGTGGAAATACAAACGTATTAAGATGGCGACTCAATCGTTACTCGTGGATCAGCCTTTAATGGCGCGTAAAATATGAAATTTAAAAAATAAGATAAGATACGCATATCGAATTAACAAAATAAAATAGAAAATATACTTTTTTTTTAGCAAAGAATAAAATGATTTTAAATTCTTTCGTTTTGATTGGCTATGGATTGATAATGTTTAATAGAATGACGCCATTTTTTTTTAAGTCAGTAACTTCACGCACATTCAGTTCGCAATAAACCTTCGGTATAGTTAAATGCACCTCATATGATGTTAACATTTTTATCATTAAAATGTATCGTAAAAATATCATTTATCTTATCAACGTTTTAAGTTACGTTCATGTTTACAGTTTTATCACATGGCAAAATTAAATATCAGTGTAAATATCTTTGATTTATAATTAAATAATAATACTTAGGTTAAGTGGAAAATTGTGGAAATAATCTTTGTAGTAGGGTGAGTTTATAATTAATTTTATGTATTACATTTATTGTTCATAATTTATAATTTACATTGAAATATATCATGATATTTTGACAATTACTTTGAACATTCGTGATATATATTTATTTATATATATATTATTAAAAATACGAAAATTACGGATTCGAATTGAGCGGTGTAAAATGGATACCAAAAGGATAACACCGAGAAGGCGGGAAAATTTGAAATTCGATCAAATGAATTCCTAAAACATACTTATCAATAACAATATCAACAATTATGATTCATTTCTAATGACTAGAAGGCACAATACTATAGCTATAATAATTATTCATCACTCATAAAATAGTTTTCCGATATTGTTCGTTGTTATTAATTATAATAGGGCAAGAGAGGGAAGAAAGGGGGAAGAAAGGGTTCGTTATCGAAGCGTCGTCGTACTTTCTGCAATGGTTATAGTAGAAGGGCTTTTTTTCGAATTTTTATAACGTCCAGCAAGTGTTTTTTGACTCGAATTAGTTGATTTGAATTTTGGACGTATCGGTGAATCATCTTCTCTCGGACTTCCACTAATATTATCGAAATCCCAATTGGTAAAGTGTTCTTCGAATAATTCCTCAAGTTTTGTCGATAAATTTTCGATCTTTTTCACGCGATCATTATCGTTCTATCGTAAAGAAAAATAATGTATAATATGCGATAATGACTGACTAATTATACGGAAATAATCGTTAAGAAATATTATACAAACCTTGTGATAAATTTTCGAGTTATAAACGATTCTTCGAAAATCTCTTACAGCATGCTCGATCTTGTGATAAATTCGATTTTTAATTTTATATTCTACCGTTTCGAGAAACAATGGATTTTTGATAACTTTGCAATAATCTTCCATCTGTAAAATAATCTCGAATAAATTTGACATAGGTTTTAATCAAGAACAGGACTATTTTCTATCGAGGACTAACCGTTCCGATCGAGGGGCTTGAAGTGGACGTAGGTGGATATTTAAAAATGTTCGTTTCGTCCATTTGACAAACAGCACGATATATAGTTTCTAATTTACTCAAAGCAAGTGGACTTAAGGATTGTTTTCTTCTCGAACTATACCAAACTGACCAGCCACGATCGTTCAATTTACTTGCACATTTTGTTTCAACTAAATTATCGATCGACTCGTTATTATCTACTTTCTTTTTACATTGCAAAGATTTACTTGCACCAGATTTCGATGATAAATTGATCATCGTTGACAAAGACGTTTCATTATCTGCAATTTTTAATTTCGAACAAGTGAACGATCCATCTTCCGATCTACGATCCTCATTGTCATCCATCATCCTCGATAATTTTTTACACGAAGGTTTTCGCGATTTGTGTAACAAATGATAAGACCTTTCGGAATCTTTGTTGAAACATTTACGTCCAGGAATCGGTACGATCGTAGTATAATTTAAAGATGGACTCGAATTTATGGGCTTCTTTTTAACCGATCTTATTACGTTAGATGATAATCCTGTTGAAAATCCTGTCGATCTACGTACAGTTTCCGAGTAAGTAGCACGTCCAACAGTACTTTCACTGTCTTTTTTGATTTCACTTAAGAGATCGTTTTCATTGGCACGATCGGTGATACCAATTTCTCGGGAAGCAGCAATAGCAGCAATATCTTCTCGATCTTTGATCGTAGTAGTAGCTGTAATAGTTGTAGTCATTCCAACAGCTGTTATCGAAGTCAAACAAGTGCGTTCTTCCTCGATCATCGAACTGTTTGATGATTCTGAACTTTCAACTATTGCGAAATCGTTTTGTCTTCTTCTCTGTTTGCTCATCATACTAGCATTGTTCAGAGTTCTGATCAGCCACGAATCAGTTTTCACGTTTGTTTTGGTATTACGATTATCTTGGGAATTAAGAAGAACGTTTGTACGTGGAGATAATTTGCTGGTTGATCCAGAATCATCTTCGGATGCTTCGTAACTCGATGCATCGATTTCTGCAATGTCGTCTCGGCTTTTCCCAGATTTCGTTTGATTACGTTGACATAGTTTTGAACGGTGTAAACTTTTTGACGATACTCGATCTTCCTTATCACTTTCCTTTTCGATTTTAATATCTTTGACTTCATTAAAGTTATCCTCGTTCTCAGAATTATCATTGATCGTTTCTTTCTTCGCATCTTTTACGTTGAGAGCTTCCAATAGGATTTCTGCCGAGGCACATGCTGCCTTCCAAGTGACATCTTGTTCAAGATTGTTTTTAATTGAAGTAACGCGTTTCAGGATTGTCGGTGAATTTTGAAGAGAGACACTTTGCGTTGTTGTGGTATTTAATGTAGTTCGAGTTATCGGGGTTGAAGATGCTAATACTTTAGGAACTTTTTCACTTTTGCTGGAATGCATATTCTTGTAATTATTTCCAGAACCGCGTAAATTGTCAGAACGTCGAGTATTATTACTTCTTCTATGATGTCTTTTTTTTGGTACATTGTAACTGCCAGGTTTCATGTAAACTCTTACATCTTCTGAGCTATCGTATTCTTCAGTAATTTGACTATGTACATTCAATCGTTTGCTGAGAATGTGTTCAGCATTCCACGGTGCACTTTGAATACTTTGCATGTTTCTTAATGTTTGAAGTTGTCGATTCGTATCGATTTGTAATTGTCTGGTAAAGTCTATCGTGTTTCTAGCAAGAGTTTCTCCTCGATGAGACAACGGATGATGTTGAACATGTAATTGTTGCTGTTGTTGTTGCTGCTGTTGTTGTTGCTGCTGTTGTTGTTGCTGCTGCTGCTGCTGCTGCTGTTGGACTTGTCCATTGGCATTTCTCATGCTGGCAAACCAAGCGGATAAATTAGCAGTCATCTCTTCGGATTCTTTCTCTGGTATATCCGGTTCTATTTGACTCAACAACATCATCCTGTTCCTTGGAACAGCTGATAATTCGAGTTGATCGGTTGATGACTTGCCAATATAAATCGGAGCACCGATATTCGATTTGTTCTCGTACATTGTTCTGCTATCGACGCGTGCTATGGGAACATTGTCATTACCAGGGTAGAAATTTCTAGCTAAAGTATTCCCAAACATGGAAGGATCATAATTCATATTAGTGGTTGGTCTTTGAATACCATAAATCAATCCTGCATTCATACACGGGGTAGGAATGTTGTTGTCGAAAAAGAACTCCTGTTTCCTGTCTTTCAATAGCCATTCCTTGGAACTTTCGTGATTCCTCTCCATTACGGTGCTTCTCAATTGAAAGAATTCAGCATTGACCGATCGTTCCGACGTGTCAACTTTACTGGACAACGAGGATGCGTTTTTGTTACGAAATCTGCTACCTGTTCGTACGTTATTTTTTGTACGATTTAATGATTTCTCACTGCCTATCGAAGATATTAAATTTTCTGTTATTGTCCACTTACTTCGTAATTTGGTTTCTTTGCGATAAGTTTTTTGAGTACCATCATCGGTCGACACGGTGGATGATATCGCCAATTGTCGTTGTTCTTCGTCTTTCGAAGTTTCATTATTGGTTTCCTTTCTGGTAGACTTTAGATTAGGCTCGTTTTTTGAACAATCGAAGAGATCGATCGACGTATACAAAGTTACGTCGCCTGGGAAAGATGCCACAGATGTATCCACGAGTTTGTTCTCGTATTTATCGCCAGACATTCGACTTTTTTCTTCCAATTTTAAAAAAGTTTCAACGATTTGCCGAAGCAACTCGTAAGTACTCTCTTCCCAAGTTTGAAAACATCGAAGTAACTCGTCGTCTAATTTCTCAGCAAGACTAGGATAATGTTGTTTGTTCAGATAATTGTCGAGAATGAGCCAACCATTGCTGACACGCAACAAAGCTTTTATCAAGTCTTTAGCAAAGATACGATCTCCAGCAAATATTGGAAAACAAGTTGAAGATTTGGTGATCGCTGTTCTAGTAGCCGAAGACAAATTGATCAAACGATCCCACTTTCCATTGCTAGAGTTTTGCTGCAGCGTTTCTGAATTGAGAACAATTTCAGCTTTGGTGCAACCCCAATAAGCTGTTTTTCGAATTAATTCGGGATATTGGGATCTGTCTGTACAAGGACCATCCGTTTGAATGGCTATAGATTTATTATTTTCATTTTTGTTACTTTCATCCGTGCAAAAATTCAAAAGCCAATTGTTCTTGTTCGATGGATTATCACCAGCCCCATCGAAGAACGCATTAACTTCTGATTTCTTTCCATTGCGTGGTTCTTCTTTGCTTAAATCGTTCGACGACGTAGTGTTGCACAATGCAGAGACCATTTTCTCGGCCTCGAGAGTGAATTCGAAACTTGCCGAAGATTCGTCCGAGTAAGCACCTTCCTCTTGTGCAGTTTCAACTATTAGTTTCTCCCCTGTTCGTGCAACAGACGGTTCTTTTGAATTACACTCGAAATTATTCACTGAAGTCACTTTGTTTTCATGCACCGGCCAGTCACCGCGATTATCTATCTTACTAGAATTAATTGGTATTGTATTATTGACGACCGACAACTTATCTTTCGAGTATGCATTCAATGTATTCAATGAAGTACCCTCGATATTTGTCTCTGACAATTTTTCACGCAATTGTCCAGCAAACAATAAACCTATTTGTGGATTTGGGAAGACTTGTGTAGCTTGTACGGTTTGTATCGGTCCTGTTATCTGATTATTCGTGAATGATGTCACAGTAGAAAATGGATTTACGGTTGCCAATTGAAATGCATTTGGATTAACTGTTTGCAAATTGCAAGCATTTGTTGAAGATATGTTATAGTAAGAACCGCGAGCTGATGATGACTGTTGACGTTGAGCTAACTGAGATTTGTCTCGGTCTTGGAGTAAACAGAATGCTTGATTGTCCAGTGACTTCGCGTATGGGGTTTGAGGTAACAAAGCCACCGCAGGATTATTGTAAGATTCTCCCAAGAGTCCACCGTGGGCAAAATTCGATGATGTTAGAATGAAGGACGATGAGTTTGAAGACGGTAACGGGGGATTGTTCGAGCCTTGTTCAAACACAAGCTTGGAATTGTAGAATGGTTGTTGAGTATGATGTTGCTGGTGTTGTTGGTGACCACGGTTAATCTTATTCTTGCATTGCCATCTATTGGGCTTGCCTAAGATAGGTAAACGTTAACGATTATCGATATTATCGAAACAATTGATTGTTAACGAGTAGTTAGTAATGATTTGTAGAAATTAACCTTGCATTTGCAAAGAAATGGGAGTTGATGATAATCCTGCGGGTCGTTGAGTTGTGGGATAAATGCATGTTGGGTGTATTCCTGGGGCATAAGGTTGGAGAGGTATCACTGGATTGACGACAGGTCCGTAAAGGATTTGTTGTTGCTGGTGGTGGTGATGGTGATGTTGTTGTTGTTGTTGTTGTTGTTGTTGCAAAAGAGACGACGTTGATGCATTTGGTACGGAAGATTGCAGAGACGATTGACTTGATCGCGAAGTCGCTGAATGCATGATCCGATGATCAGAATCGAATGATCGATTTTGGCTCGGTTTCTGTCAAAAATACGTTCGTACTTTTTCTTTTTCCTTAAGAATAAATTGTCAATTGACACTCGTACCTAACCTCATTAGCAAAAACAAAATTGAACATAAACATATTTGCTCGGAAACGAGAACTCACCCGACGAAAGAGATCCTCTTGAAGTTGGATAAGGGTTTTCTTCGTACCTTTTTGAGGAGGGTATTCCAGTAATATACCGAAATAATTTCAGGCATAACATCGTACACTTGCGATTACTATGACCAAACCAAGTTCATGCGAGACTCGGTCAAACAAATGGCAATGCAATTGAATGAAAATAGAAAAAAAAAAAGTAGTAAAAGGAAACGAACAGAATTTCTGATCGAAACGAACTATCAATCGGGAATTGTTAGATCGCCCTTATGTTAATCGAAACACGTACAAATTCGCTTGCATGTTAAGAATATTAAAAAAAAAAAAGAAAAAAAAATTGAAAGAAGTAGAAGATGAGGAAAATAAGAATACTGAAAAAGAAAAAAAGTAATAATAATAATAATAATGAGTAATTATACAATTCGAATGTATTATGTTGAACTCACTTTACTGAATTCAATGATCTACTTGAAAAACGTTAAAGAAAATAAAACGGTAGGCTGACTGTGGCGGCCATTGGTTCCCAAACAAATTTTTCTCACTCTCTGTTAGCATAGAAACGACGAAAGAAACAAAATATTTGACTGCTTTTTGATAGCAGCAAGAGAGTCACGTGTGTATTAATTAATAATAAGTTTAATGTAAGTAACATTTACCCTCTTTCTTTCTTTCTATCTCTGATTGCAGAATTTTATTCAAATTAACAAGATGCGATAATACATGTGAACATCGACGAATTTTTTTCTACAAAAAGGGAGAAACTAAATGAATTAATTAGAACGAACGAACGAACGAACGAATTACGATCGTTCGATCGATCGATCGATCGATCTATCGAAATGTAAAAAGATTTAACGAGATAAACATTGTCATTTTAACGATTTAACGTGTGGCAATCAAACGTATCGTTTGATCATAGATTTTTAGAATGAATTGAAATACTTTTTTTTTTTTTTTGTTTAACGTTTCTTATACATACAATATCTCCCATTATACATGTATATTTATTTATATTTTTATTTGTATTTATATATTATTATTATTATTATTATTATTATTATTATTATTATTTTTATAACTATTATTATATATTAGATTTCTGTTAGACTTTTGCAATGAAAACGTATCGAGATTTATATCGGATATCGGTTGTTTGCAATATCCAAAGTTGACAAGACGGCTGATACGCTTTTCCTTTCATTCTTTCTCTCTCTCTCTCTCTCTCTCACTTTCACTCTCTTTCTCTATTATTAAAGCTCTCTATGCGATAAAATTTCTTGAATGAACACAGCGAGTGTGTATTTATGTGTGTATTATGTCTGTGTACCATGTATGTAACATTTAACAACTCGTTTACGTACGCACTTGATGATACAAATTTGTTTAAACAAATCTTTTTTTTTGATGCACACATTTTTTGTATTATTACTCAATTCAATTTTTGTTTTGTTTTATAAATAAATTGGATGAGATTTGTAATTAGGTACAATTTTTGGGTCATCTCAATTCTATAGGAAATGAAAAAAAAAAACTCGTACGTAAACGTAAATTTTGTGTGTGTATGTGTATGTGTGTGTTGTAAATTAATTAATATTACATTTATTTTCTATGCCGAGCTTTCGAACAAACGTTTGATCTAAAATCAGACGAATATAACTTCGGCGTAATTGTGAGGAATAAATCGTTTACATAATCTTCTCATTTATTCTCTCGCGAATTCGGAGTACGTGAAATTTTCTTTAATATCCTTCGTACTTTCCTTTTTTTTTTTTTTCTATCATTAGCTTGATGGGACCCCGTTACGCTAAACGAACTAAAACGGCCCTTCGACGAATAGACGGAAATGGAAAGACCGCACAATTATTCTTATTATTATTATGACTTGTTTTTTTTTTTTTTTATAAATTCATTTAATACGAATGGTGGACAAATGGTCATTTTATCGTCTTTACCATTAATTTGTTTTTTCCTTCCACCCCCCTCCCCCCCTACTCCTCGATGATATCTTTGATGATGAAATTTTGTAAATATCAATTATTGAATTTAGTAATTTTGATAATTTTTCTTTTATCAAGAAACGTTGTTGATAGACGTTTTGTTTTTTTTTCTTATTATGCGGTCGTCGTCGTCGTCGTCGTCGTTTGTGTCATCGTTGATGATAGTAGTGGTCGTGGTAGTAGTGGTAGTGGTGGTAGTGGTGGTGGTAGTGGTGTTGTTGTTGATGGCGATGACAAAAACTCAGAAGAATCGGAGGCATATCGATGAAGAAGGGACTCGTAATATTTGATCAATCTAATTGCGTGCAATTGCAAGAAGGATGACACCTAGTGCACACGATAGGATAAACGTTTTCGGTGGTTGATCGGCACCTGTCGTCGCCCCGTTGCAATAATCATTCAAACACGAACAAACTTCTTGTCGTCCACCAAAACCGCTTCTTTGATAACATTTTCCTTTGTAACTCGATTCGATCCAACCACAGCTACGTATCACTCGAGTATTCGCTGGCACTGAATTCGAAAAAAAACAACGAAATGTATTCCAAATATTGAACGATCTTTTTTTTCATTACAGGGGTTCAGAGGAATATTTTTATTGAAATATCGATTTCGATGTAAATTAAACTTAGGATTAAATGAATTACTTACGGCCATTAACGCTAAACTCAATGACCTGAGTGATTTTTCGACACATGGTAAATTTCGGACCTTCCTTAAGATTACCGCAATCTTTTTTCAATGCGTCAGGTGGATTTTCATCCGCACATCTGCTGTCATCGTTGCTGTTACACACGTAACACTCTATGGCATTGGCACCTACAAATTAACAAATGCAATATTAATTAAAACTAAATAATTAACGAAATAGGATCGTGTTAATAAGATATTATTTAACTATTTCTTATTAGCTCATAATATGCGTGTAATTTATTTTAAAACGAAAAGAGAGGTCATCCCATTATCATCATCATCATCATTATCGAGAGAGAACGAAGCGATAAGAAAATCAAATCTTCAATAAAAATGTTTATTAACGTTTGATCCTATTGACATAAAGTTTATTATGAAACTTCATCATCGTTGCAATTAAAATACAATTGAATTGTACTTTTGAATAATTATCATCCAACTATTGTATAATAATTACATTGAAAAAATTTAACCCATAAACGCGCACAAGATAAGTTCATCGAACTTTCGACCCTAACTGATATAAAAATCGATGCAGCTACGTGGCCTAGAAACGCGCGGAAAGATTAAGCTTCTTTAAAAGTATGCGCACAAAACGATGATCTCGTTTCTGAGAAAAATCACGTGAACTAAATGTTTAATTAATTAATCAAACAAATGTTGTGTCATTTGATTAATTAAAAACGTTTGATCTAACAAAATTTGACAGAGGTGTAATATAAATACTTGAATTCGTCATCGTGTAATTTAAAACCGATCATTTCGTTAGACTCTTCTGATAGATCCATCACTATAATTCAAGACCATGCTTACTACTTATTATACTTAATGATCGACGTAAGATAAAATCAGCTATTCATTCTGTAATTGAACATTCTAAGAACGTATTCCTCTCGATTATGAAATATTCAACTAACTTAAACAAAAGTTTTAGTGTTCTGTGTTTCATGAATACGATGATTAAAAAAAGACACCATTTTATTCAATGAATAAAAATGTAACAAACAAAGTCATTATGTTGTAATAGAAATTTAGTTGCATTTCTCCCTTCATGCTCTATTTCTGTGCATTAGTGGCAATGCTGATGCCGTTTTGCGCATAGTACGTTCGTCATCGATCTTGCTGACGTTTGCGCCAATGCATTTTCATGAGATACCATCATGAACTAAAAAGATCTATTTTTTTATCAAAAAAAAAAAAAATAAAATAAAATAAAGTTCCTTATACGATGTAATTACTTTATTCTTCGTTGTGATTCATTAAAAATAAGCAAACGATTATTAACGTGTACATCATTATGGTTTAATCAATTAAAAAATCACTGAGAGACAAAGTGAATTTAATTAGATCCTGTTTTTTTTTTTTTTATCATCGATCAATAAAAAGTCTTCTCGTAATGTTGAAATATAAAAAATGAAAGAAAATATAACAAATCATTACCTAACATAATTTTTCTTCTTACACAACTATTTGATAATAAAATGTTTTCATACAATAATACAACAACAAAAAAAAAAAACATAAATTTAAATAACATACACACAGAGAGACAACAGATAAAAAAAAATTCTTACCGTGATATCCAAGAAGAAGAACGATGGCACAGCATGAAATAAAGATAAGCTTCATTATGAGAATTCAATCCGATTTTCTTGCCGATCGAATTCTCCTCCTGTTTTTCACTTTTTTTTTTTATTTTATTTTTATTTTTATTTTTATTTTTATAATACTATATTGTTTATGATTTGTTTCAAAATTGTGATTATATTTTTTTTTCAAGTAATTACAAACGATGTGATCTATGTTAAAACGATCAAACGATTCGTATCACTCGATTGGTAATAAAACAGAGAGAGAGAGAGAGAGAGAAAAAGAGAGAGAGAGAGAGAGCGAGAGAGGGAGAAAGAGAATTTCTGATAAGGAGAATAAGATGTTATGAGTTTAGGGTTCTTAAAAGCCGATCATTCGGCCTCGAGAGCTGGAAAAGCACTGTCGAAGCTTCCTATCCAACGTCGCCACGGACTCCCACGATAAACTATAAACCCCAGAGAATAAGTTTCCTACCTTGTTTCTACGGCACTGGTCTGCGTCGAACGTTTACAAGCAATGTGGTGGGGACCTTAAGAAAGATAGAGAGGGAAAGATAGAATATATGTGAAAGAGAGAGAGAGAGAGAGAGTGAGACGAAATAAGAAAAACAATTTATTTTTATATTTTCTTTATATACTTCTCATTAGAATTGATTTGAATAATAGGATTAAAAATGTACGATTAATTTCTATAAATTTCTAACAAATTCATTTGTTTATCCAACACAAATTACATTTATAATAAATGTAATTGTAATTGTTTAAATTATATATTGTTATAAATTTTTTATATACTTGCAATTTATTTGTTTACATTTTCTTATTCATTATTTGTATTTTAATTTATGGTTTATGGTAATTCATAGATCTTTTGAAACATTCAATATTATAATAATAATAATAATAATAATAATAATAATAATAATAATAATAATAAAATGTGTATTAAAAATATAAAAAAAGGATTAAAAAAGATTATAGAAATCTGATAAAATATAAATGACTTATAACACATGAATGTAAATAGACGTAGATAACGATCAAGTTGTAGAAGTAAAACACACACAATTTCAACTGTGTAAAGAGAGGAAGAGAGAGAGAGAGAGAGAGAGAGAGAGAGAGAAATAGAGATAGAGAAATAGAGAAATAGAGATAGAAGAGGAGAGTATTCGTAGACTGGTCTACGAATAACTTCCAAGGACTATGCAACCAACGATCTTCGAATTATGTCGAGCAAGGAAAACTTTCCTGGGGTAACACGTAAATTCTATTCGCGTGTATATTACAACGAAACAAATGTTGTAATATTATGAAGAAAAATCACGATTATTTACAATCATTTTCTTATTGACAACAACCATAAATATTATTTCACATGAAATACAGTAAAATACTTAATTCATAATTAATATGTATAATGTTTTTTATAATTAATTTTTATTCGAAAAATATGATGAATCTTTATCGAATGAATTTCCCGCGTATTGAGTGTACGCATGCGCAGTGAGAAAAATCGACGCTCCCATAAACGATAATCGATTATTCCTACGTAAGAAGAAACTATTAACCCGAATAGGCTCTATTTTCTATCTCTTTTATTATAAAATCGTTCAATTCTTTCGACCTTCTTTCTATCATTTTCTTTGTCAATGTTTTATTACAATTATTATGCAACAAAATTTTGTCCATTTGATTAAAATACGATTTTGTTTAAATTTAAAAGTAAGTGACTTGTGACGCAACTTTTCGTATTATAATTTTAAACAAAATAATAATTATAATAATATAAAAAGATGTTATATAAAATCGTATAGATTTGACGATGTTATAATTAATGATATTAAAAAAAAAAATATATATATATATATATATATATAAAAATAATAGAAAAGACAGGGCCGTACTTTGAACAGGGAAGAAGGCCGTGGGTGGTACGAAGAGCTTTACGTTCAAATAGAGCGTAAAGTGGTGGTTTGGAACACGTTGAGTGGATAATGTTCCTTTTCCTGTGACACTCTAAACGTCACAAAACTGTCACATATACTCGGACATAATCGTAAATGGATACTAGTACTAGTATACTCTAGCAGAAGGTATCCTTTCATTGCTGATTTTCACACGTCCTTGTTCATCAGATAGACGGAACAAAATAAATCTATTTTGAAATCTTYTAATCTAATCTAATCTAATCTTTTTTCCTATTAGAAATTTAAACGAAAAAACAACATTTTATCATACCACTTTGGTTAACATAACTCTTGAATATAATAATTGCTTGTTATTTTAATTTTAATTACTCTATTTTTAGCAATAATAATAATAATAATAATTATTATTATTATATTCTTTAGTTTATAAAAGATTTAAATTGGTTATTACTTATTTTTTTTTTTTAAATAATTGTAATTAAAATTGTAGTGTTTTTTTTTTCTTGATTGTAGATAATTCTATTATTCTTACATGCGACGTAAAACAATTGAACCCACGCAATAATCGCGTGCATTCGCAATTCCTAACGATCTTCTTCCTGTCCAAAAATGATATAGTTATCCGTTATAAACTATAATACATTAGGATAATCAAGGAGTTTTTTTTTTTATTTCTAAAACGGGTTTAGATCAGTCGAGATCGCATTGTAATTTGCTAATGAGATTTTGATTAATAGAAATCTATGCAACTTTTTAATATTATGCCTTAACACGTGCGACCACCAAGTTGCACTTTTAAAATAATGAACAAAACAAGAACTTGATTAATCGTTTCAAGCAATTAGTCAATGTCATCTATAGTTAGTTACTTTTTTTTTTTTTACTAGATCATTTAACGCATTTAGCATTGCATTTTAGCAACCTTTGTTATCTATCCATGACATACTTATTATAATTAGTATGGAGGGTAGAGGTAAGGAGTAACATCTCTGTATACAAAAATTGTCCGTCGAATTGTATTCAATTAGGGTGGCGCCACAGTAGCTTGAGGGTAAATTTTAAAGGAAGCGCCAAAATATTATTAGAGTAGGATTGAAAAATAAACAAGGAACACAAATTTCACAGCACAAATTTGACCCATAACTGTTTTGTTATTCGCATACTTTTTTCATCAAATTAAATGATAAAAAATTACATAATAATTCTTTAAGGTTATATTTATTACATTATTACATAACTCGGCATACTTCAATTTGTTTACAATCGCTACATTCATACGTGTGACGTTGTTTGTCCGCAATGGACTCCTAAACTACTAAACCGATTTTAATCAAATTTTGCACACTGTATGCAGTTTCATCTCACTTGAAAGATAGGATAGTTTATATCTCAATTTATAATCGCAATGATTAAAAGACGTGTGTATCGGACTGATTGTGAGCCACAGCAACTCGTGACGGGGCACCCCTAGTTATTTTTAGAAAACGCTGGACACTTTTTCACATTTTCTCCCATAAAAGATGTTACTCCTTACTTCTACTCTCCATAATAATTAGAAAAGATGTAACTTCAATTGGTATCGATTATTTTTTTTACTCTAACACTTGAAGTTGTGTATATATTATTGTTTTATTATTAAAATAATTGATATTTAATCGAAAGGAAGGGACGAGGAGCTTCTCGATAAAATTACAAATCGATAAATTGATGATCGATTTCGTTTAAACGTAATATTTAAAGTCAACATGCGCATGTCGAATGATCAAAACTTGGTACACATTCTCAAGTATTATGATGCCCTGTTTCATGTTAATAGTGGATCAGTGTAATTGATTCTGTACAATTTGAAGCAGTTTATTTTGAAGATTCTCCAGGGATCGTTTCAACTATAATTAACGAGCTCTAATAAAAACAGATAATAGGTTAAGATCCATTCATTTGGTTTGCTCGTTAAATGTGGTAATTAGTTTCAAGACTAAGATCGTAAGTAATTGCGTACAAATGATGAAGATTTTTAAACAATATCGATCATTTTTTAAATTATTATTTTCTATAGAAAAAGAAGAACAAGATTACGAAGTTTATTACATATTCATGAAACATTAACAATGCGAATAAGATTGAATAGATTTCATATTATATTAGTTTTGTTATTTCTTCCAAAAGGTTGGTATTACCAAAATTTCAATAATTTCAAATTATTATATATATGGTCGATCGTTGATAAGGTAGAAATATTTTTATCTCAATAAGATAAGTTTATATATAAATATATATATATATATATATATAATCATTGGTTGATAAAACTATCGGTTGATAAACTTTAATCAAACATTGTTTAATAATAGAATTATTTTATTATTAATTTAATTGTAAAACAATTATAATGAATTAAGACAACATTTGTCATCATAGTAGATCAACAAAATAAATTTATTAATAATATATTTTCAATGATAATAATTCAAATGTATTAGAAATCAATGAAATTTGATTGAATTTAGAATCTAGATGCAACAAGTGTTATCAGTGCAACAGCAAAAAGGACAAAGACTGCACTTCTAATAAGGTCGATCCAAAATATCTCAAACTGTGTCCAATGACTCACCCGTATTGTCGTAAATATGTTTACAAATGTAAGTAGTCAAGTTTTGCAAAAGTGAAAAGAGTTAACGTGGTCGTTCATAAATTTCAACATGAAAAACCTAAGCGATTTATTTTCTTCCTAGAAATTTATTTTCCGATCAATGAAGTGAAAAATCTTTTCAGACTACTTCACGGGTTCTAAAGAATACTCGACAACTCGCGAATGTGCAAAATGGAGAAATGCCGAAAGGGAATGTTATCGAGGACGTTATCCAGATGACAGTTATCAATTGACTTGCGAATGCAAGGGTTTTGCTTGTAATCATGCAACAACCAGAACTAATTTCAAACCTTTGTGTTTATTTTATATCCTTTCTCAACTCTTAGTCATTTTATTCGTCAATTACATTATACTTGATGTTCGATAATCATCGAATCATGGTTGAACAACAAACTATTCATCTCTAAAGAAAACTAATTCTACATAAACCACAAACATTGTAAACATTCTGTTTGATTAATTTTTTTTTTTTTTTTATTTAAGCAACGTTAAAGTAATACAAATATTATCACTTTAATTAATGACAATAAAATAACGGATTATAATAAATAATGAAACGAAATGTGGTAAAATTGGCCTTGAACCTTGTAGAAATATTTATCGTTTGGCGAAAAACATTTGAGAAACCTATTGGAATATGTTTCAAGGATAATCAACTGTAGGCTTGACATTTCGGCCGTTTTCGAAGTATTATAATATTTGAATATCGTGCCAAAGGAAGTGATAATTCGTCTCGAACAAACGTGAATATTGGTATAAGGGGAAGTCTATTTTTGATTTATTCTCAACAATAAAAATCTATCTCTCGCCATTGGCTATAACGCATTATTATGAAAATGAGGGCATTTTCGATGGACGTTCAAGAAAAAAAAAAACATGTCTGTAGATCACACAAGTTAGAAATGAAACGAGTGCATAGTTTCAAGAGTAGGATAATTTATTATATAATATTATTACAATTAATTATTTAATAATTAAAAATATATGTGCGCCTGTATGTATGCAACCCATCAGACACACTTTGAAAATATTGCTTGCGAGCGTCATCTGTTGGAACGGAATTTTTTTGCAGTCGAAACTGTTTATACACGCGTGTATTACGGGTTGCCTATCTTTCGGGCAGAACAAAAATTCCGTCCCAGTAGATGGCACTCGCAAGCAACATTTTCAAAGTGTGTCTGGAGGGTTGCATATGTACAGGCGTAATGTTTTTTAATTTTAATTTTTCACGATCGCCGCAACACACAAAAGCATATAGAACGTTTATTTGAAACATCATTATAGAAAAATGTTTTCTATTTCTATTTATACGCTTGCATTACAGGTTGCATATTATCAGGGGACAGAAACAAATTTGTCCTTATACAAGATAAATAAATAGGTTACATATCATCAGAAAAATGTTATTTTCTTCAAGATTGTATCTTCTTTTCGAATGCTTTGAAATAGTCGACAAACATGACAACACCGAGAGAGAGAGAGAGAGAGAGAGAGAAGAACTGTTTGATTAATAATTCTAGCAACGATTAGTTGTATTCGAGGACATAAGGAAGACGCCTTAGAGTATATCGTATGACTTTTCTAAGAGGGTGGGTGGGCGGCGATTTTTCCATCCCTCCGCAAACTACCCTCGAGTTGTACCACGTGACAGTCGTTCGTTCTCTTTCCTTACCCTTTGCCTCTCTCCTAACGTTCGATATTATTATTATTTGGGTCGCGGCAATGTGGCGCCAAGCGTCCTGACGCTCTCGACTATTCTCTCTATCCTCGCACTATTTCCATTCTTCCTAACATTTCAACATTTTCGACGCATCTTTGAAAATTGAGAAAGAGAGAGAGAGAGAGAGAGAGAGAGAGAGAGAGAGAGAAACTGTTAGGAATTATTTTAATGAAAGTAATTTACTTGTATGAAAATTTTCTTCGTTAAGTATTTAAATAGTGAAAATCAATTAGTGATCTATTGTTTCGCCCTTTGGAAGGTTTCGCGTGCCTTTGGTTGCGTGTTAGAGGCGTCCCTTATTAAGAACGATATTTAACGCTCGTTGAACGTATGCCAAAGTATGTTATCTGCACTACGGTCTCTCCTTCGACTTAGAAAAAGTATGATGATCAACGTCAAACCATTATAAATAAACTAATGATCGTAATTTTGTGTGCGTAAACATATTTCTTATGTTTCATGATTTATGATCTATGACTAAGAACTAACGACAACTCTTTTTTTTTTCTATTCCAATTTGTTTGATACAAAATGGTTTACTTTTTTTCATTCATAATGTCTCGTCTAACAAACATCGTTGAAATTAAACGAAAGAAAGGAAAAAAAAAACAAGGATCGATCTTTTTGATGATCCGATACTCTGAAAACAAAATAGAGGTGGGAAGAAATGATATAAATAAATAAATTTAAAAAAAGAAAAACAATAGAAGAAGAAGAAGAAGAAGGGAAAAATAGAATAGACGAGGTTACGATCTTGGTTGAAATCGTCTTATGTGAAAATTCCTATATGGAGTTTTGTTGGTAATTGGTGAAACGAAAACTCCGAGCTAGACGGCGTCGGTGGCGTCGTAGATGGGGCGTAGATGGGGCGTAGATGGGGCGTAGATGGACGCCGCGGCGCCAGTCGTCTCTCCTTCCAACCCTCTTCCAACCCTCTTCGAACCCTCTTCCACCTCCCTCCCCCCTGATCTCTTATTCTCCTACTTCCTTCGGATCTAGGAAAGATGTCATATAACATAGAAGGAAAACGTGTATCGTTGAATGATACTACTTTGCGATTAACGATAATGTTTATATCGACGATTCAATCCCATTCTACATTCTACAATGGAATTGAAAACAATTGAACTTATTTTTCCATTTATTATTCTTTATTACTTAATATTATTATTATTATTATTATTATTATTTATTTTATTTGAAATGGGTGGTTTGTTAATGGGTGTAACAATTGCGTGTTCATTTTCCTTAACTCGCGCATTGACTCAACTAACATTTGACATTTTCTAATCTAAGGAGGATTATCTATCGAGTGAAACTTGAATTGTTTTAATTAGGCTAATAGTCGATTAAACTTGTCATCTTTCTCTCTCTCTCTCTCTCTCTCTCTCTCTCTCTCTTTTTTGCCTTGCCTTTGTTGATTCTTCGAGCATCGGCATTACATTAGACTTTCCAACAATTTTCTTTTGGAATCCTTGCCAAGAAATGTTCTCCCTTGATACAACATCGGCCGATTCCTAACATACGTTCGATATTCACGATCGGACGATACACTGTACGAGATATAACTCTTTCTCTCTTCCCTTTTTTACTCTCTCACTTTTTCTATTTTCTATTTTCTTCTTCTTCTTCTTTCTTCTTTCTTCTTTCTTCTCTTTTCGTAACTATTTCTTCAATCTTTTGGCAAAGTTTTAATCTTGTTGCCATGCAACAGGTGAACTCGTCGTGAGGAAAAGAGCATTTCTTTTCAAATACTTTCACTAATATTTTTTATGATATATATATATATGTGTGTGTGTGTGTTACGGTCAATGYACAGAATTCAAAAATCGTATAAATTGTTCGAAACATTTTATAAAATATTTGCTAAGATTTGATAATAGATATTTTGCAAATCTATAACATGTTCAGTAAGTTTTGATCAATCAAAAGGATAACATGTTTGTTTCAGTGGGGGGTGTGTTTAATCCTTTCTTTCAATAGGGCGTAAAATCAGTCCTAGTGCGTCCCATTACAAAGATCAGTAGTTCATTTCCCCCTCCAAGTGATTTTGAATTTTTACATTCAATAAACATTTCCCAAATATATGTATTGGTTTAGGAATATCTTGAAGTACATGAAAAAAAAAAA